GGCGCGCGCTCCAGACCGCCGGGCCAGCGCTGGGTGTGGATGAACTTCGAGTCGCCGTCGCACTCCCCGGGGCTGCGGGGCCTGGCCGCCGACCTGTTCAACTGGACGCTGTCCTACCGCGCCGACTCGGACGTCTTCGTGCCCTACGGCTTCCTGCGCCCCAGGGGCCACCCGAGCGACCAGCCGCCCGGCCTGGGGCCGCCGCTGGCGCGCAAGCGGGGCCTGGTGGCCTGGGTGGTGAGCCACTGGGACGAGCGCCAGGCGCGCGTGCGTTACTACCACCAGCTGAGCCGCCACGTGCCCGTGGACGTCTTCGGCAGGAACGGCCCCGGCCGGCCGGTGCCCGCCAGCGGGCTGCTGCACACCGTGGCCCGCTACAAGTTCTACCTGGCCTTCGAGAACTCGCAGCACGTGGACTACATCACCGAGAAGCTGTGGCGCAACGCCTTCCTGGCCGGGGCGGTGCCGGTGGTGCTGGGCCCCGACCGTGCCAACTACGAGCGCTTCGTGCCGCGGGGCGCCTTCATCCACGTGGACGACTTCCCGAGCGCAGCCGCCCTGGCCGCCTACCTGCGGTTCCTGGACCGCAACGTCGCGGTCTACCGTCGCTACTTCCACTGGCGCCGGAGCTACGCCGTGCACCTCACCTCCTTCTGGGACGAGCCCTGGTGCCGCGCCTGCCAGGCTGTGCAGACCGCAGGGGACCAGCCCAAGAGCATTCGCAACTTGGCGGGCTGGTTTGAGCGGTGAGGCCGCCGGGCCCTAAAGGGACAGCTCTCCAAGCCTGAGGTTTCCAGACGCGCAGCTTGTGCGCAATGAGAAGAAGGCTTAGCAGTTAATTCGGTGTAGCCCAAGGATGGGATGGGGAATTCTGTTCCCAGGTGCTCATGGCTTTTGCATAGCTGGAGGCTGGGTTCACTCTGTTGAGGGGCATCAGTTGTGGGTGACCAAGGAGGGGTTGGGGGGTGGTTCTTACCGCCACCCGTGTGAAGTGGCCTAGCAACAGGAACCTGGAGAAGAGTGATTGCTTTAATTTTCTCCTAGCCACAGGCCATGTCTCGAACTCTGCGGCCTCTAAATCTTGCATTCTTGTTCTCTGACCCAATGAGAGGCACTCCATTGGGTTTTGAAAGTGTGGGTGTGTGATAATGGGAGTCTGTGCCCACAACGGAGTGTTTTCTTTGGTGGTTGGATTACTCAAACCTCTTGGTCCTGGGAAAGATGAGGATGGTTCAAGAAGGCATTGGTTTCCATAACCAGCTGTGTGTGTTCTCAGCCTTATGAATGGAAACAAGAGGCAAGATTGTCCTCAGAGGACAGGCAAAATGAAGATTTGGGTGACCTTCACTTCACACTGTTTCTGAAAAGCTGCATTTAAATGACACCCCAAAGTCAGGGCCCTAGGGGAGTTCAGTATTTAACAGAATCCCAGGAACAGTCCCTTTACAATGTGAATAATCATCTCCTAATTATTCTGACTTTGTATTTCTCCATAACCTAGATTTAAAAAAAATTAAAAATACAGATATGAAAAAAAAAGCACAAGGAATCCTCTTCCCCTTTCCTAACAAACTAGTGTTTACAAATGGGAAGAAGGCAGTCACTGTCACTTTCCATAATATTTATTCTGTGTCTCTGTGGGGCCTGAAATGTAAACTGGATGTCAGTCCTTCTGCAGAGCCGGGGCTCTGACAGTGAACACAGTGCTCCTTCTGTACAAGGAGAAAAGAAATTCATGGTGTCTAAATGCCAGATTTTGTTTCTGTTTTTTGTTAAATGGAACTGAACTGAACTAGTGCCTACAACTAATTGGGTATTTTGTTAAAGGCTGAAATCCACAGGTTCTCTCCTGACCTGCATCTAGTGTAGTAAACCCTCAAGTCTGGTGCCTTTCAGTCTTGGTCATGGGACCAATCTTGAAAATCCAGGCATTGACTTCCCAAGCTGTTGATTGAGCAGCGTGTTCAGCAGATGCCAATGTGTGCCTGTTGTGCCAAACACTGGGCCGGGGCTCCCCAGGGAAGGGACAGAAAGTGAGGCAGGACCCCTCTTTAGAGCCGCCTGCACTCTGCCACTGCCAAAAGTGAATACGGATTTGTATCAAACAAAGGAACTATTATTGATGGTGGTGCAGACCACAAATCAGAAAGCCAGTTGACTTAATGCTTCAAGCTGTTGTTATAAATGATCCTAGGTGGCTGTTATTGGTAGGGTCCAAGACAAATTAGCATTATAGAGTTCTGCCTCTGTGTTTGGTTAGCATTGGTGTCTGAATCCTAGAGCAAGTTTACCTCCTCCAAGCGCTTTTGTTGCATAAAGTTCACTTAAGCTCAGGGGCTTCTATTCTCTTCCATACAAGGAGTAATTAAAAGCTGTGAATAACATTTCCTCATTAAAGTGCTACAGTGTGGGTGGAAGCACAGTTCCCCGGCACCAGCCCTCAGGTAAAGGCAAAAGAAAAAAAAGAGTTCTTTTTAAAAAATGAGTGGCCAGGATCTTGGTGTTATTGTGGACCTTCCTGGGGCAGTGGGGGAGAGTTCAGGACTTGAAGGTGAGCTAGCATTCCAGCTCCTGACACTGTGTTAGCCCCAGACCTTCCTCCTCTATGAGGTATGGTAGGGAAACATGTCACAGCTGGTTGTGGGAAGTGAAGATGCTCACAGTGGGTACCTAGTACACCCCCCCACATACACACATATATTCATATTCCTTTTTCACAGTGACTTTAGGATGCCGTCACCTGCATTTTTATGTCTGAAATTAAATCCAAAGGCATGTTAGAGAGTAAGTCTGAAAAGTGAAGGGGTGTCATACTGTGTGTTTCAAATAAGCCCCTAAACCTAGGCCCTATTTCATGATTTCAATGTAGATTAAACTTGGGTTTGCAGACTAGGACGGGGTACCTGTGCTTTTTTTTTTCAAAAAAAAAAAAAACCAGTTTGGGTAAACCTATATGGTTAAATTAATGTGGATTGTTGGACCCAATGCTTTTTGTATCAAATCCCTGTAAGACAGAATATTTATGTGAGGAAGAATGCATCTACATGTATTATATATTTCAAAATGTATTTCCTATGATTGTCATGACTTCCATTAAGGCATACACTTTTAAGTTGATCACAAATGTAATATTTTTAGCCCTGGATGACCTTAATTCTGAGAGTGCATCTGAAGGTGACTCTTCAGAAGTCAGGGGGACTTGGATTCTTTCCAGTTCCCAAGCCCTTTCCTGATGGCAGGAGGAAGACAGCCAGGATTGGCTACAGGAAAGAGCTTGCAGCTTGGAACCAGAACCGGAGGCTGTGGCTTGGCCACTTTCTGTTTCTGTGGCCTTAATCAGGCAATTTAAGCTCTGGAGTCTCAGCGTCCTTCTTCATAATGTGTGGGCACCCGTATGAAACCAGGTTCAGGTGGGATGATGTGTGCCCAGTGCTTTGTCCACTACAGGCTTACAGAATCTAATCTTTGAAAGCCTTAGACCTGTGCAAGGCCAGAATGAATATTTCAAGCGCTGCAGGCTGTATAGCCTGTGGCCTGTACTTCCAAAGTGGGCGTGCAGGAGCAGGCCAGAGGGTGAACGACCCAGTGCGGGTTGCTAGCTGCTGACTTCTTCAGCCCTTGGGTTAGAGTTTACCAGCTCAGCTCTATAGACATTTACAGATGCTACAAGGAATCTAGGAAACGAACAATTTTTTTAAAAAAATGCAACCTGATGGGTATCTCTTGAAAGGGATTTGAGAATTCTAATTTAATAATTCTGGAGTTTAATAGTTCTGGAGTTTGCCAGTTTCCTAGACCTGCTTTGCAACATTCCCTAGTTGTCTGATCTTGGGCAAATTATTTAAGCTACCTGTTTTGATCATCTCATCTGTAATTGAAGTTAATCATATATAATTCATGGAAGTACAGAGAGGATTAGATAAGACACCTAAGTACTCAATATAGTGCCTGGCCCAGAGGACAAACCTAGAAAATGCTTGCTGAGATTCCCACCAGCCCTTTAACAGAGGGAGGAGCCAAGATCCAGACCCTCTGAAGGATTTGCTTGAGGTGACAGAAATAGTGGTGGGACCAGCTGTGCCTGTATGCCACAACCCCAGAGCCTCTGTCACTTGAGCTGCAAAATGAGGGGGCTGGACAAAAGCTCTAAGGACCTTCCAGCTCTACTCTCTCTAGTTCTAATTGGCACTCTAGAGGTTAGGGAATTAATTGCTCTCTGGTGGGCCTTCCTTACTGTCTGGAAATGAGTTCATACCCAGGAGCAGGAAACTGATGGAAAACGAAGCACCAGATACAGAGGGGGAGGGGGATTGTGTGTGTGTGTGTGTGTGTGTGTGTGTGTGTGTGTGTGTGTGTGTGTGTGTGTGTGTGTGTGCGCGCGCGCGCGCGCTCACACTTATTACATTCCTCAGATACCAGAGAGGAGCCTCGTCCTTGGTAACCAGTTTGGTGGATGAGTTTGAGGTCTACATTTCAGGTCATACTTGATTTTTGTCTCGGGGACTTTTATACTACAGTTCCTCCTAGTATACATAAATCTAGTCTTTATGTAAACATGCTGAGATGTTTAGGCAAAATGGTTAAAGTAATGAGATGGAAAAAGGCCTGTTTATAACGGAGTTATAAACAGACGCTAACGTGTTCACCTGTGACCCCGGGGTGTCTCTGTTGCGGGTTCTGTGAGGTCACTGGCTCTGCCGTAGCCCACAGTGTGGCTGTGATGGCTTTGTCTCCGAGGAGCACACCAGGTCCAGCTCAGCTTGTCCTTTCTCTCCCTTCACACTGTAGTCTGGTGACTCATTTGTAAGGGCTCAGCTGCACGTTCTTGTGTTGTGGTCCAGTTTACTTTCCTAAGTGCTCCTATATCCTCCATAGTAGAGTTACTAGCTCTGGTCCACCAAATTAAGTAATGTCAGCTTTTGGGAGAGTAAAGACTGAGTCGTAATGGTAGGCAGAGGTCAAGAAGGCAAGCTTTCTTCATTACAGGGAGCCACGATTGTCCACGGAGGAAAATGTGAATGTGGTGTAAACACTGGAGATTCTCTTCTTCCTGCCTCCCTCCAGTGCGAGTGAACACACCCACCACATACACACTCACTCACACTCGGTGACATGCTCATTTAAGTACAGACTCAAAATCACCACGGTCAGCTAAGGGTAGGAAGAGGACCATCAGGAAAAGAAAACCCAATCATGAATGAGTTAAAGGTGCGTTCGTTATAAGTACAGCAGGTGGCGAATGTGGCTGGAGAGGAACTAGGGAATAAAGGGGAGTCAGAGTCACTGAGTGCACAGCCAGAAGAAAGGGAGGAGGCGGGAACGGCAGGGGGTGGTTAGGGTTAAGGAGGAGACAGACCGGGATCCTGCACAGAGCTGGGGCACTAAGAGCGCACCATTCAGGGTGCTATTTGCTGAGAAGGACCTTTGTGCAACAGCTGTGGACAGATGGGGGTGAAATCAAGGCAGACCTTGCTGACAGGGAGAGCTGGGACCTTAACAAGGAGTAAACAGGGCATCAGAAACATAAAACCCTGATTCATTACAGCAGATTCTTGACCACTTAAGAATGCTACTTTTTTTTTTTTAATCTGGGAAAAAAAATCACATTTGTTGCCTTTTATTGAATCCCAGTCAGCACACTTCACCAGCACTTGAAAGCACTTTTAAAATCTACTTTTAGAAACGATCACTGGCATATTGTTTTAAAGGAAGAAAATGTATAATCAGTTTGTTATACCTATTAGTTTCCTGCAAAACCTTATTACAAAACTACTTCATGTAAGATTTAAATAATTGGATTTTTATGATATCAATTCTGAGACCTTTGAATTACTGTTTTTAAAAAATATTTCATTAAATCTTTGAGAATTTTACACAATGCCTTTGGATCATATTAACCCCTATCTCCTCCCAAATCCACTCTCACCTTCCTATCCCCCCAAGTTTTTGTCCTTTTTTTTTTTTTTAACAAAGCCGGTCTAGTCCAACTTGTGTTTCCCAGATGCTCTTGGGTGTGGGTAGCCTACCAGGGGTCACACTCCCAGCAGCAATCGGTTGCCAGTAGCTCCTCAGCAAGGGGTGGGGCATCATGCCTGCTCTCCTCCCCACGCTGGGATCTTGTCTGACTTGTGTTTACACAGGTCTTGCGCATGCTGTCACAGCTGCTGTGACTACATATGTGCATCTGCCTGGCTGTGCTCTGAAAACACTTTCCTTGTGGTCATGCACCACCTCTGGCTCTTAGAATCTTTCTGCTCCCTCTTCCATGATGATCTTGGTGCCTTGGAGGGAGGGGTATGAAGTTCTATTTAGGGCTGAGCACTCCACAGTCTTCACATTGACCAGTTGTGGGTCTCTGTTAAATTTCCATCTACTACAAAGCTTCTCTGATGAGGGTTGAGAGATGCACTATACCTATGGGTATAACAATAAATCAGGAGTTGGTTCAGTACTATGTCAGCTTAGTAGGATAATAGTAGGGTCTATGATCCATCCAGCCACAGGTTCTTGGCTTGGATAATGAACAGTCCAGGTATGGTTCCATCCTGTTGAGTGGGCCTTGGTGACTGATTACGCCTATACACTACTACACAGGTGGGCATCTTTTGCTGGGCCAGACCTTAATGTAGCTGGCGGGGTTCACTGCTGTCTAAGATTGATGATTATTTTTCTTTTCTGGTAGTGTTGCATAACACCTTTCAGCACTATGAAAGCCAGTCAGTGGGGATGAAGTTTCCGGGTCAGTACCAGCTTGACCATCCCATGTTCTATGACTCAAGTATGTGGTGTCTGTGGAGCAGAAGGATCTTACCATCAGGTTCTGAAGCGTGATCAAGAAACGGCAATTATGCAAAAGTAATTATGTTTGTGCATCTCTGGGAGCCTTCTGGCTGACAATTCCGAAAGAGGTAACTCATTCCTAGCACTGAACTTTTTATTTGCTAGCTTATGGTTCTTGTAGGGGTAGGCCCCTCCACATTATAGGGCAACTCCATTTAAACTCTTTATATATGTACAGCTTTTAGGAAGCTTCTATTCTAGATTTTCATTTTTTCAAAAGGCCTTTAGCCCTCCCAATATTCCCTTCTCTACCCTGCCTTCCCACCTTTAACTCTTCCTGTTGCATTACTCCTCCCCCCTTTAGATAACTGCATCCTGTGTCCCTTCCCTGAGAAGCTCCCCTTCCCCCATGGCCCCTTACTAGACCTCTATTGATTTTCCACATGAAACACATACCTAAAGATTCAAAGCTAGCATCCACAGAGGAGCTAGAACATGTGACTCTTGTCTTTCTGGTTTGTTCTTCTTAATAGCTGAATACTATTCCTGTGTGTAAATGTGCTACATTTTCATTATCCATTCATCAGCTGATGGATATCTAGCTTATTTCCATTTCCTGACTCTTGTGAACAGAACAGCAATGAACATGGACGAACAGGGATCTCTGTGTAGGATAGTGTCCTTTGAATAAACATCTAAGAATGGTATAGCTGGATCATGTAGTAGATTGATTTCTAGCTTTCTGATGAACTGCCACACTGATTTCCATAGTGGCTGCCCCAGTTTGCAGTCCTCTGTCAGCGAGTCAGCGTCCCCCGTCCCCACATTCTCACCAGCATTTCTGTCATTTTTAAAATCTTAGCTATTCTCACTGGGGTAAGATGAAATCTCGAAATAGTTTTGATCTGCATTTTCCCGATGGCTAAGGATGCTGACCACTTTGAAAACTATTTCCCAGAATTCCATCTTTTTGACTCTTTTCTTCCATGCCAAGTTTTTCACTGGGTTGTTTTCTTGAGGTTTAGGTTTTTGTTTTAGTTCCTTGTATATTCTCGATACTAATCCTATGTCAGGTGCATAGATGATAGTTTTTTTTCGTTCTGTACATTGTCTCTTCACTCAAATGATGGTGTCTTTTCTGTACAGAAACTTTTTAGTTTCATGAGGTTCCATTTGTCAATTGTTGGTCTTAATGCCTGGCCACTGGGGTTCTTTTCAAAAAATCTTTTCTTGTGTCGATAAACTGAGGCATGGTCTCTACTTTCTCCTCTGTCAGATTCAGGGTAGAATTCTACCAGATTGTCAAAGAACACCTATACTCCTCAAATTATTTCATAAACTAGGAAAGGAAGGAACACTTTTAAACAGTTCTATTCGTTTTATGAAGCCAGCATTACCCCGATTTCAAAACCACAGACCCAACAAAAAATAAAATTATAGACCAAACTCTCTGATAAATATAGGTGCAGAGAATCTCTAGAAAATATTTGCAAACTAAATTCAGGACCATACCCAAAAGATTATCTACAATGACCAAGTTAGCTTCATCCCAGAGCTACAGGGATGGTTCAACATATGTAAATCCATAAATGTAATCCACTATGTAAACAGTCTCAAGGACAGAAACCACATGTTCATCTCATTAGAGGCAGAAAAGGCCTTTGACAACAGTCAACACTGATTCTGATAAAAAGTCATGGAGAATCTAGGAACACAGGGGACACATCTCAACATAATAAAGGCAATATAAGTAAGCCCACAGCCAGTATCATGATAAATGGGTAAAAACTCAAAGCATTTCCACTAAACTCAGGAACAAGACAAGGATGTTCAGTGTATTCCTTAGCTGTGGCAGTAAGACACGTGAAGGTAAAAACGGCGGCACAAACCGGAAAGGAAGAAATCAAAGTGTCCTTATTTGCAGATAATACAAGTCTATCCATTAAAGACTCTCCCAGAAAACCCTAGAGCTAATAAACACATTCATCAAGGAAGCAGGATACAACATTAACACCTAAAAATCAGTAGCCTTCCTATACACCAAGACCAAACATAACAAGAAAGAAATCGAGAGAAATGATCCCACCCACGATAGCCTCAAAAACATGCTTTGGAATAACTCTAACCCAGGAAATGAAAGACTTGTGTAATAAAAGCTTCCAGACATTGAAGAAAGAAATCAAAGAGGATATCAGAAGAAGAAGACCTCCAGTACTCATGAATCGGTAGATTAATATTGTGAAAATGGCTATCCTGCCAAAAGCTACCTTCAGATTCAGTGCAATCCCAATCAAAATTCCAACACAATTCTTCACAGAAATTGAAAAGAAGTAATCTTCTATTTCACACAGAAACATAAAAATTCCAGAACAGGTGAAATTCTGAACAATAAAAACCCTCTGGTGGCATCACCATCTTGATTTTGTCATATTGCAGAGCTATGGCAGTAACAACATGGTACTGGCATAAAAACAAACACATTAATCAATGAAGTAGAATTGAGAACCTATTCATGGTGGAAGGAAAGAACTGGCTCCAGTACATTGTCCTCTGACTGCTACGTGTGCACATGCTTGCTCCTCAATAATAAATGAATAAATGGATGTAATTTAGAAATTTTTTTTTGGTCTTTTTGAGACAGGGTCCCCCTGTAGCCCCAGATGTCCTGGAACTCACTGTGTAGACCAGGCTGGCCTTGAACTCACAGAAATCCACCTGCCTCTGCCTCCCAAGTGCTGGGACTACAGGCGTACGCCACCATGCCTGGCAGTAATTTAGAGATTTTAAGTTACTAAATCTCACCTAATACTGTGAAAATGAAAATGTCCTATTAGCCCATGTGCTATGAATATGTGGATGGTTTTTCAAAGAGGGAGAAAAGTGCCTCTTAGCAAGCATTGTGGAGAACCTGCTGTGTACACTGTGTGCCCGGACGGGGCATGTGAACAAACTGAGGGAAGGTCTGTACTCCGAAGCGTATGCTCTTGTTAGGGAAATGGACTCGTAGAAGACCCGGGTATGTGATGATGTCATAATAATGCTTGATCACGGGAAGAAGAATCATTGCACTAAACTCCTAGTAGAAGCCTCAGCAGTATTAGAACACTGCAATTTAGGGACCAGTTTCCCACACAACAAAGTTCCTCTAAGTTATCACAGCAAAACACAAGCCCTGCAGCCTCTTGTCCCAGCAGTCTGCCTACCTGATTATTCTCACAAATGCTATAGTCAAAAATAACAGCTGCGATTAAGTATCATCCTCAAAATGACTAATCTCTACAGGGACTTTGCTCTCCTAGCAACTAGGCATACCTGCCCTCACCCTCTGATTTTCCTGGTTCTCCTGAGGTTAAGTAAACATCTTAGAAGCATTCATTCCATTGGCTGAAGCATCCACCCACAACTATCTCAGTGATCAGCAATGCCTCTCGATAATGCCTTGTGGTGTGTCAGGCCTTGCTGGGGAGGAACAAGCTACAGCTTTTAAACAAAGGCTCTCGGCCACAGGTGGTAGCTGACTAAGGTGGTGAAGTGCCAGTCTGTATGGGATGCTTTATGCCCATCCTTCCTTTAGTGATTACCCGTCAGTGGAGAGCACTGGGTGGCAACATCCATTGTCACTGCCTCCTGATACCGAGTTGTCATGTGATCATCCTGCCTGGCGTTTAGTCTGGTTGGGTGACACTCCAATGACGGTAATACTGGAGAAATCCAGCGGATGCTTCGAGGTTAGGGTGTAAAAGACCGTCTTTCCGTCTCGCCTTCTGCTCTTTCTTCCTCCTTTTCTGTTTCCGCCCGTCATTTTCTCGTCCTCCTCCCCCTCCTCTCTCACTTCTTCCCTCATTCTTTCCCCTATTCGCTCTTCTCTGTCCCTTTCTCTCTCTCTCTTCTTTTCACTGGAACATGAAATAAGAAGGCTTTGTGGTTTTCCTTAAATAATATTAACCATCTTTCTCAAACTCTGGGTTTGAATTTAGATAATCATATGGAAAATTCGAAGTACTGTGAGAGTTCTTGCTATTTGCATTTCTCCCTTGAACCAACCACTCAGCCTTATGCTCCCCGCTTCTGGATGATCTGAGACATGAGATGAACTTATTTTTGTGCTTTCTAAGTGCTGCTGCCCACACCCTCCTTCATTGTTGACAGAGACCTAGCAGTGCTGTGTGGTTAAATGACTAGGAAGGAAACGGTCCCAGCTGCTTTTAACCCAGAGGCCGGAATGGTCACTATGCCAGCTTGCTTGGCACCATTCCAGATCTCACATCCTTCAGGTCAGAACACTCAGGAAGCCTACAATAGACTGCCGAACACACGTGCACACAGTCTCCTTCATGGAATGATCTCTCCCTGCCCCTCCTTTCTTGTGGCCCATGAACAGTCAGCACGTTTGTGATGGTCCTAGGCAAGCGGGTACAACTAAACTTGGGAAGAAGGCGTCTGTCCATAGCTTTCTGGTCCTATGCAACAGGTTCCCTGGAGCTGGAGTCACAGGCAGTTGTGAGCAACGTGATATGGATGCTGGGAACCAAACCCAGGACCTCAGTAAGAGCAGCCAGTGCTTTTGACCCTTGAGCCATCTCTCCAGCTCCTGAGTTACACTTTTAAATTAACACATAATGTATTGAATTCCACACGCAAACATAAAGTCCTCAGTACATTTAGATGTCGGTTCAAGTGTCTAATAAAAATCCATTTGTTCCTTTTTCCCTACTTTTCTACATTTATCCATGTGACAGATCATAGTCGTTATAGCCCAAATAAACAGATGCCTTTGCTCATGCATCCCTTGCTTTATTTGAAAGCACTAATTTGCCATGTTCATGAAGAAGGATGGGTGGTGTTCCAAGCCTTCTGAGACTATCACCCCCCCCCCCCGCTGGAGATTAGTCACACTCAGATCCTTCATTAAGCATTTACCAGGGTCCTTTATTGTGTAGTAATTCTACGCACATGTATAATACATACTGTACACTTCAACTATTTAATAGAATCCTTGTTCAGCTACAGATCTGAAGCTGATGCTGCAGATGCTTCTTGGAGTAGCTAAGTGAGCAGCTACTGTTGAGGGAAGAGAGCGTCCTTTGTTGTTCTGCAAGGCCTGATTTGGAGTGCAGTAAACAAAGGCAGCTGCACACAGACACCGGGGCACACCAGCCTGGAGGGGAACAGGGGACCTTGCTGACCCAGGAAGCGGGTCCCTTCCCAGTGTGAGTTTAGGCAAAGTGCCCCTCCCATTTAAAAAATACCATATATTTCTCCATCTCACAGAGATCTGCCGGCTTCTGCCTCCCTGGTGCTGAGATTAAAGGTGTGCACCATCGTGCATAGTGAGCATGTCTTCCCACTGGTTATTATTTATTTATAGAATCTTCCTAATGAAAATAATTTAAAAATTAAAGCCATAGACCTGGATGCCCAAAAAACCGATTTTTATAATTGGCTTGCAAGATGAATTTAGGTAAATCTTTGACTTGATAAAATTAAGATACTAACACTTGGTCTATGTTGTAGAGTGAATATTCTATTCTATTCCTGAACTACACTAACCTAGGTTCCCTCCAAAATGGAACCTGAGATAAAAGCTTGAAGGCTGTCAGTTTATTTTGGGCAGTGATTGCCAAACGAGAACAGGGTGGGTAAAAATGAACCGGGCGCTGAACAGTGGCTCAGCAGGTAAAGGTGCTTGCTGCCAAGCCTGATGACCTGAGTTCCATCCCTGGGAGACAGGCTTCTGGAAGGAAGAGAACTGACTTCTGCAAGTTGTCCTCTGACCTCCACAAGCATTCTGTGGCACATGCTCCCCCATTCCCCAATAAACAACTATGAAATATGATTAAAAATTAAAAATGAATGAAACAGGGACGGCTGTACTAACTGCAGCCCAAGGATTCAGTCTCAAGCCAGGCTCCTGTGATGTCCGGTGCCTAATCCCACCAAGGATGCTGAGCAAAGACCTAAAATGTGTTACGCAATCATCTGCCCAGCGAATGGAAGAGAGAATTTCCCCAGTCTTCCAAGGGTGGCCCATGAGGTGTCAACTCCCTTTCACTCTAAGGCCTGCTCGCAGGTCAGAATGACTGAGTGGATTTCTTTGGGTACCCTGCAGAGAAGGCGCAGGGCAGAGGGAGAGCACCAGTAGGTTATGCTGAGTGCAGTTAATGCCCACAGCATGGTAAGAGTGGAGGAAAAGAGGTCAAGGAGAAAAACGTGAAGGGTGACACAGAAGGGACCCAGGACTAGAGTGACAGAGAAGGAAGCCATGACCAGCTCGTCCATTCAGTGCACAGGAGTAAATAGATGACCTATGGCCAAGGTTGGACTGGACTTTATGGCATAAAATTTGTCTACCACAATTCTTATGGTAATAATTATGCAATTTTTAAAGTTTTAAGTTTTTTATTTTTAATTACGTGTGTGCATATTGCCCAAGGAGACCAGAGACATGGGATCCCCTGGAACTGGAATTAAAGGGGTTGTGAGCCACCCAGTATGGGTGCTGGGAACCAAACTTGGGTCCTCTGCAAGAGCAATACATGCTTTTAGCTAGCAAGCCATCTCTCTAGCCCCTAACCATGCAGTTCTTATTGGATGCCAAGCACTGCAGTAAGCATTATTTTATTTCATCCTGGAAACATCCTGGGCACCGTATCTCAGTGGTTCTCAACTGCCTCAGCAGGGCACATTTCTCCAGTTCTAAAGACATTTTTAGATATCATGGTTAGAGAGGGTTTGCCTGGAATGTAGCGAGTAGAGCTCAGGGATACTGCTAATCAACCTGCGGTCTGTGGGGACATACTAGTCTGGTCCCCACAACTACTATCCAGCCTAAAACATAATGCTACAGTTCAAAAATCAAGACATACCTTTCTCCCCATTTTGTATAACAGCAGCTGAGGTTAAATGAGATCAAGTACCTTTCTATGAGCCAGAAACTAGTAAGTGATGGTGTGGGCAAGTAGACACTGGTCTGTGCCGTACCAACTCCCTATTACAGACACAGTATAAGTGCATTTTACAGATGAGAAGTGGAGGGTGCAAAGCGTGCATCATCACAGGAAAGTGAAAGTTATCACGGGAAAGTGAAAATGTAGACGATAGAGCTCATGTTTCTGATCTTGTAGCAGGTCAACCTGTGGACAACTGGAAGGATCTGCCTTTAAAGTTGCAGTATTAAGATCCTCCAAAGGAAAAGCACCAGTAGGGGATATGTGGTTATAAGTGGGGAGGGTGGTGTCAGCCTCTACTTGGCTAGTTCTGCAGAGACCATTTGCAGGCTGGAGAGCTGGGGAACACCAGCTGCTCAGTTGGAGAAGTTGGCAGCCTCAGAAGAAGGGCCACCAATGGGCCCTCATCTGAGGCAGAAGGCCCCAGAGGTCCCCTGAGAGTTGCTGGCACAGGCCCACATTCAGAGGCTGAAGAATCTGGAGGTTGGCCACAGGCCAAACTGTACCTGCTGCAGAGGGCCCAAGCATTTGTGTGGGTGGGCCTTCCCACTCCTGTGTTCCACCTGGAGGGCATCGCTGAGCTCCCCACAGTTAGGCTGGTCTCCCCGCAGTGCTCTGACCCACACATCAACTGTCTCTGCAAACGCCCTTACAGACCCAGGGAGTATGTTCCAGCCACCCAATCAAGTTAGCAACAAAGATCCACCATCACAGTTATTTACATGTCTGCCAAGTCTTTCTGGACTCTGTAGTGATAGCACATTAGTGTTAAGTCACACAGGCAGAGGCAGTGGTATATTGGGAAAACGAATGAGAATTGTCTTTATGTTCAGAAACAAAAGCACGAGTTCCTTGTCCAGACTGTTTTCGACCTGTTCTTCCCTTTAAAATAGCAGTTTACGATCATCCACAGTTTCCAGCCTCATTTGGTTTCACTGTATTACTCATTAGACTGGTTTGTGTCCGTTCCAGATGGGCCATCTCAGCCTAACGCTGTCATTACCTGCGGTCTGTTAACCCTCTTCTTTCCCGCCGGGCACTACACACACAGTGCACACATATCCATACACACAGCGCATACACATAAAAAAAGTCTAAAAAGGTTTCAAGGCCAGCCTCAGCTGCATGCCTGGCCTACAAGAAACCCTGTCTCAAAACCAGAACCAAAACCAGACAAAAGACTATCAAAGCAAAAAGCATATTAAAAAGAAAAAAAAGGGGTAGGGAGTACCCTGCTGGATTTGACGGCATCAAATCTAAGGATTCTGGTGATAAAACAACTGAGTCAAAATTACCTGGTGACAGACTGGGAATAGTTGTAATATTGAAAAAGATTTTTAAAAGATGAAGTTCTTCTAAATCACAAGGGAAAAAAGAAAATCCCACAAGAAATAAGCAACATTCCCTGCTCAAAATAAAGACCAAGTCAAAGTAACGGTCAACGCTGGGGGAAAGAGATGGGGAACGCCAAATGTGGGGGTGCATTTGATGGGCGGAAAGGGAAGGCTGTGCTTGAGGTCCGCCCCCACACCCGGCCGCCCCCACACCCGGCCGCCCCCACACTCCCTCCGCCCCCACACTCCCTCCGCCCCCACACCCCCCGCCCGCACACGCACTGTGCTCTTGCACACGCACCCCACCTCCCCAGCACCCGGTCCACCCGCACTGGCAGCGGTTTTCTGCGAGCGTCCAGGGAGGCTGAAGCGGTCCAGCGTCCTGTTACCCCCTCACCGTCTCCACGCCACAGAGAAACTCGCCCTTGGTGAGGCTCAGCAGCTTGGAACATGAGCGGACGGGCCCGCACAAGGGCGAGGGGCATGTTGCGTGGCTCCAGGGCCTTGGAAGTGAGGGGCTCCCCCGGCTACCTCGCGGTGAGTGTTCCTTCCCCTCCTGCCCCAGTGTCCGGCCTGGACCATGCCTTCATCTCTCACCTCGGGGCTTCCCTGGGTTCCCCCCCTTTTTCTTTCAGGCAGATACTGCTGTTTTATCCTACAGTGCAGAAACCACTGTGGAGGAGTGTGCCGAGCCTTTCATTTTCTGAGCTTTGTTTTGGTTGTACACGGCCTGGGGGGTTGGGGTGGGGACGACCCTGAAGTACCTTGGTGTGCATGTGTCTAATTCAGTTGGTCTTGGTAACTGGCCCCTGAAGTCATCTCAAAATACAGGTGAGGTTTAGAGTGTGGCTGCCTGTTGGATTTGCAGACTAGATTGATGGGACTCTGAATCACCAACGCATACCCAGCGATTGACAACCTTAGACCCGTAGACTCAAACTATAGTGTAGGTTGTGGTCATTTTGCCTTTGATTCTTAAGAAATGATGCTCTCTGCTAAACTATTTTGAAGCACTCAGAGATACAGTTATTTCTTGGACAAAGGGAAGTTTCAGCAAAGAGAAAAGCTTACTGGTTCTGTCCTTATCTGTTTTATGAATTCATTTTGGCTGTTTATTCACAGGGAGTCATTCTGTGGGCCACTGCCCCAGGTGCTCTGGGCTCAATGGAGGCCCAGGGTCAAGTCTCACCTGTGAGATGAGCACCTGGGGTCGAAGGCTCCAACCGGCTCATGATCAGCACTAAAAGCACTTCGATAAGGGGGAGATGACGGCTCTCCTTAGCCTTTCGTGGGGAATGGCCCCTCTCCTGTTCCTTAGGGGTTTAGCCTGCTGCTGTTCTCTGTTTCTACATGATTCTCATCTATGACCTTGAGCATGATGCTGGTCTGGTCTTTTGATAATCTTTTGGGTTGTGACTTAGCTTAAATCTCAGCAAACTCTTTGTTTACAGGCCACATCTGTGGATCTTGGGAACAGTGAGGTGTCTCTCAGCAGCAGGACAGACAGTGTTTGGCAGCCGTCAGGTAAGTGTCTGTCCCTGGACTTTGTTCAGCCTGAGGGGAGCAGGAGGGACTCCACCAGGCCCCTAGGCAGCAGGTCATCCTGTTCTTTTTTTCCTTGAGGGACCCTGCTCACCATTTTTGTTAAGGACTCCCTGACACAGCTGCTGACCTTTCTGAGTTCATGAGAATCTAGACAGGAGGAAGATAGTTTTCTAATTCTTTCTGCTTAGTGAAGTGGTTTTTTTTTTTTTTTGTCTTTTTGAGACAGGGTCTCCCTGTAGCCCCAGCTGGCCTGGAGCTCCATATATAGACCAAACCGGCCTAGATCTCAGAGATTTGCCTGCTTCTGCTTCCTGAGTGTTGCTGGCCTTAAAGATGTATACCACCTTGCCCAGCCTCAGTGAAGAATTTTGAAAAACTTTATTCCCTTTAGGTAGAGTCTCATGTAGCCCAGGCTGGCCTCATACTCACTGTATTTCTGAAGATGACCTTGAACTCTGATCTTTCTTCCCCCACTCTCCCCTACCCCCAGTGCTGGGATTACAGGTGTGCACCACTTCACACACTGGGCATTGAGCCCAGGGTGTCATGAATGTTACACAAGTGCTCTGTCAACTGAGCTATACTCTGGGTCCTTGGAAAACATACTCTAAAAATTATCATACACAAATGTCAAAGCCATCATGTTTTAGGATGGGAGAAACCCTGCACACGAGACTGTGTTATCCTTTCTTTCCTCACCTGGGAACATAGCACTGTCTAATGGCTGCTGTCCTCCCTGTAGAGCCAAGTACAGTCTCAAAATTCTTGTCCACCTGCTGTAGCCAGGGCCACACAGGGCACATTGGCATTCCGGATGTAGTAGGTTTTGCTTGGACTGCTATGAGAAAGTAGCACAGACTTCCGGGCTTAAGCAAGTGTGCTGGATAGTTTTAGGTGTCAACTTGACACACCTGGTGAGAGGGTGCCTCAATTGCCTCCATTGGACTGGCCTGTGGCCACATCTGTGGAGGAATTTTCTTGATTGCTGAGTGACGTAGGAGGGCCCAGACACTGTGGGTGGTGCCACCCTGGGCAGGTGGTCCTGTATTATATTCGAAAGCAGGTTGATCATGGGCCAGGGGAGCAAGCCAGTAAGCAGTATCCTCCATGGCCTGTCCTCCAGCTCCTGCCTCCAGGTTCCTGCCCTGAGTTCCTACCTTGGGCTCCCTCAGAGATGAGCTATAACCCGAGAGATGTAAGATAAAATAAACCCTTTCCTCCCCAAGTTGCTATTGGTCAGAGTGTTTTTTTCACAGCGATGGGGAAGCAAACTAGAACAGTAAGAGACATTGGATTTCTCCTGATTCTGGAGGTTTGAAGTCCGAGACCACAGCATTGGCATGGGTGGCGTCTTTTGAAGCCTCTCTTGGTTGCCGCTTTCCCCCTGGATGGTATTTCTCTAAATTTCTGCACCTCAGTTCTTACACCAACGGTTTTGGATTAGGGGTCACCTGCACGACTTCACTTCAAAGACATGACCATCTCCTTACAGACCCTCTCTCGTGTAATAGTCACACTCTGCAGTAGTGGGAGTTGGGACTTCAACATGTGAATTTGATGTGGAGGACACAGGTCATTTCCTGTCTTGGGGAGAAACCTGTCCGCTGTCTCCCTCGTTCTGACTGTGGAGTCATGATTGCTAGTCAGTGGGTAAGCGCTAAGCACTGAGGTCCTCAGCCTGGGTCTGTCAAGAGTCCATCTCCTGTGTGTCTAGCTGTTCCTGACTAGGGCTTTCCACCCCGCACAGCCCTGTGAGAGACAGCATGTCAGCTCAGCTTGTCACCCTGGTGCCCCTCAGACGTTGCATAATTCTTGTGGCATGGCACAGGATGGAGACTTCCCATTCTTTGAAGACAAACTTTTTGCTTATTTAAATTATGGTGACATACATGTAACCCAAAGTTTTCCATTTTAACTCTTTTTAAGCATTCAGTCCTGTGATTTTTTTTTAATCCTGTTTATATTGTATAGTTTACCACCATTATCCATTTCTAGAACTTTTTTCATATTGGAGAGTTGAAACTTAGTACTTGTTAAACAGTGACTCCCCATCCCCTGGACTCACAGCCCTGAGAACTACCAGTCCATCTAGTTTCACCTTTAGGACTGTCCAGAGTATCAATGAGTGATACAGGCGATCTGTTGAGTAATGCAAATGTTAATAACTAAATGTTCTCATATTAAAATCTTCCTGAAATACTCCAGTTCCATGGAGAAGGACCTGGATGGCAGTTTGGAGTAATGGAGGTAGCATTTGGGGACATTGCATTCAGTGACTGTATCACAGGACAGCTCAACTCAGGGGCCAGAGACTCATACTGTTAGACCTATTACTGTGCATTAATATTGTTTTAAAGTTATCTTCAGAGTGTTGAGGACATATTTTAAAAGTTAGCATTGCTGAGCATGATGGTACACGTCTTTACTCAGCACTTAGGAGACAGAGGCAGGTGGATCTCTTGTGAGTTTGAGGCCAGCCTGGTCTACATAGTGAGCCCCTGTTCCCCCTCCCCCTCAAAGTTAGCATGCTCTACACTAATTTAAAGAAGACGCTCACATGGAAACAGATGTAATTCATTTTTCTACGGTCTTATAGTAATAAGCTTCAAGTAGAACTCTGTAGTTCTCCAGGAAGGATCTGGCATGATTACTGATGGCTAAGGGCTGTTTCTCTTTTCACTGGGAAAGGGAAGGAATGTGGCCCCTTGTCTGTGCAGAAGTCAGAGTGGACTGACATAATCTGGAGCTCCTCAGGGTGTGGCCATCCCAGAGCTAAGAGAGGGAGGACTATCAATTCTTTTTGTTAAAATTTCATTTTATCGTATGTATATGCATGTTATGCCTGCATGTAAGTGCACCCGTGCCATGTAATGCCTGTAGAGGACAGAAGGGGGAGGCATCAGATCCCCTGGAACTGGAGCTACAGATGTTTGTTAGCCACTGCATGTGGGTGCTGGGATTTGAACCCAGGTATTCTGTGACAACAGTCAATGTTCCTAACCACTGAGCCATCTCTTCAGCCCGGGACTGTCAATTCTTAACAGGTGTGGAGTTGGGCACAGGGAGGAAGGTTTCTCCTGCACCAGGAAGACAACATCTATGATATTACAAGAGCAAACACTAACTCAAGAGCTCTTACTACTAACAGAACATTCTGGGCTTTGTAATCTTCCATTTTTAGGCTTCTGTACAGTCATGAATGTGTCATTGTTGTACACGTGTCTTAGAAACCACAAGCACCTGAGTTTTGATGTGTAGTTGCAGACAATGTCATTTGAATGATGCATAGGCTGTTTGTTCTCTTCCTATTTCAGATGAGCATGATGCTGCTTCTGGTGACGGGGAACATACCTTGATGGAGAGAAGAGTGAGAATCAGACAGGACTTGATGGATTTGGGCATCTGTACCAGAGAGAGACTGGCACATGTGAAAGATTGTAAAACAGGTACCCAGTCTCTGTGCTACTCTGTAAACACTACCAAGTCTTGCTTAAAAATTTTGAATTTCTAGATCCAAAATAAGCAAGTCTATTAATCAACCTGATGCTCACTGGATCTCTCTGATGGTCAAGGCATCTTCTAAGCACTTTGGGTGTGTTAGCCTTATTGATAGAAACACACGACTTCTTGAAACCACATCTTGCTTTTGGAAAAGTTTTTCTCTTCACTCTTTGGATAGGGCTTAAAAAGATTCTTTTCCCAACTTCCATCCTACATGGTGACTCAGCCTGTGGGATTTCAGTTGCAGAGAGAAAGGCTCAGCCAGCATGGGTAGTTCTTAACCAGCTAAGCTCCTTCTGGAATTGTACATGTGACTATGGGCACATGTGTCCTCTGGGTAGAAGGTCTATGATTTTCTTTGGATTTTCACTGGGCTTTGTGGCTCCCTTCTTATTGATGTAAATCTGTTTTCAAACATTTTTAAGTCAAATAATCAAAATAAGAAATAGATGCTGTTATTTAGCAATCAGGTACACCCCAGTTGAAGCAATTGCCTCACAAAACAGTGCTTACCCACTACACACAGGCACTGGGGGCCAGCCTGGGCTATATTGGTTTTTCACGAAACAAGCTCTTGCTTCACACTTTTTCCCAACTATGCCCCTGACAGGGCCGGCCACAGTTTGAAAAGGCTGGTGTGGAGGATCTCTAAGCACCTCACCTGTTCTGATGCTGCAAGTGAACTTCTGAGTCTGTGTATATGAGCAGCTGAAATAGGTTGGCCTTCACTCAGAATCTGGGAGACCAAAAGGTTTTCTTTAAATGAAAACACACAGTAAGTGAGCCTGTGCTCCTAGCAGATAATACATCACCAGCCAAGGCTAAGGGAGAGACTAAAATATACAAAATACTGTTTATTCTTCACTCCCTGGGGCTCACATTTCAATTTCCTCCATCACAAACAGCGATTTCCTGACATGAAGAAAAGTCCTTCTGGCACTCCAGATTCTGGCCTGGGAGGAGCTTATGCCATCCTGAGAACTAGCCAGCTATGTTGTGACCAGCTCCAAGTTTGTCCTGAAGACTTTAAACTGTGAACAAAACAATTCTATAGGGGGGAGGAATTCCAGGAAACACACATGGGCTCCATGTGCCTGCCAAAAATAGAACTGCTCCAGGCCTGCCTGCTTCAGGAGTTTCTGTGGCTCTCCCCGGACCTCTGAAGGTTTCTCTGGGGACTTGGACATTGATCTCATCACTGATGGAGTTTGCAGAATTTTCAGAATTGTGGTTACGTTTTGATTATCTGGATTTTCTAGAGGTTGGGAGTTGTGTTGTTCATGTTGAGAACCAGATACTTTGTTTTGTGATCAGAGAACAGCTCATTTCAGGGCAGCTTCTGAGATTATCAATCTAGCTGATCTGAATTACAGAGAAGCATCTGGAAGGTGACTTGGGAGGAGTCTGGGTGGTTAAGTTTAGATGTTTCTCTCCTCCCAAGGTCAAGAATGTCAGCCTCTGCTCCCCTGGGCAGGTTGGAGGCACACATGAGCTCATTGTGAGGCACACGTGATCTCAATATAAGGCCCCTTGGTGTTACCAAGTTGAAGGTATAAGAGCTTCTCACCACTGATCAACCCTTGCTTTATAGCAGCTGCTGTCTTTTTTTTTTTTTTTTTTCTTTTTTAGACAGTCTCTCTGTAGCCTCAGCTGGCCTGGAACTTGCTATGTAGACCAGGCTGACCTCGATCTCACAGAGCTCCACTTGCCTCTGCCTCCTGAGTGCTGGGATTAAAGGTGAACACCACTACACCCGGCTCTGAGTATGATTTTTAAGATATGGTTAATATTAACATGATTTGCTTCTAATGTGAAAAAATACTGTTTTTTGTCTTCCTCAGGATCCAGTGGGCTACCTGTGAAGCTGGTTACAAATCTCTTTAGTTTAGATTTGCCCCAGGACTGGCAGCTGTACCAGTACCATGTGGTGTACAGTCCAGATTTACCCTCTAAAAGGCTGAGGACTGCTTTGCTTTACGGTCACAGTGAACTTTCTGACAGGACAAAAGCATTTGATGGTGCCATCCTGTTCCTCTCACAGAAGCTGGACCAAAAGGTACAGTGCGGTCAGGAGTTTTAGTGTGTGTGTGCGCATACACGCATTTATTACGTGTGCGCTGAGGAGAGTCGATGATGTATGTGACAACTGGAGCAAGTGTTTCCTGTGCTTTTTATTTCTTCCTGTCCCCTTGCTCGAGGGCTCAGAGTTTTCCTGAGACGTCATCAGTAGTTGATTTCATAGTTAGGAAGCTGGTGCTCAGCCACTTAAACATGAAGAGCAGTGAGTGTCCTCAAAATGGACATCCTTTAAAACCTTTCCCCAAGTAGGCAGGGACCCCAGAAGCAGCACCATTTGGTGTGTGGCTCTGCAGCTTTCCCTGTTCGGTGACTGCCCGTGCAGTGTGCGCATGCCCAAACAGTTGCCCACAATTGCCCACCGGTTTCTGAATCTAGAACTTTTCTTTCTTTCAAATTGCTTGGTCATATGAAAGATGAGTTATTGGTGTCCAGGCTGAGTGTTTCCAGAATGCCACCATTGAAGCAGTTAAATATTTGATTTTCCTTTACCCATATTTTTCCAGATTTTTAAGATTTCAACCCTGAACTAGATTTTAGTATGGATGTTTCTCACAATATTTTGTTTGGAAAAAATTTGTTTAAATATTCTGAGAAAAAAGGACTGGCTTCTGTATGAAAAACTAAAGTTAAAACTGAACTCAGAATTAGACCTTTACTCTTCTAGTCCTTGGGAAGCTTGATCCATCAGTTCAATATTTTTAAAGTGGTATGGAACCCATAACAAAGGTTAAAATAGATAAGTAAATATTAGTGAATTTCCCAAAGAAATGAATTTCTAAGCATTCTTTTATCCTTTTATGAGATCTTGGAATTTATTTTGCCAGTGGTGGACTCTTACAGCTCAGAAAATCTGGCCCTACACATTTAGAAACATCTTAATTCACCATAAATTCTAACCTCTGACTAGTGACAGATGTTGATAGCATGCCTATCTCTTCCCAAACTTAATTTGGAGTGCCTTGTTATGACTAATCATTTTGTTTTCTTAGACATACCTGTAGTAGTCATTTAGAAACTCAGACACATGAAAATGGCTCTATGTGACGCTTGGTTGGTCCAAGTGTGCTTCAGCTGTTCCTGGAAAAGTTCTATCCTGCAGATGCCAGGAGTAAGTTAGAGGCCTTTGTTTCCCACATCGTATGTGTCAGGCACACGTATGTGCTGGGAATGGGGTTCAGTGAGGAGGCCAGTGACAGCCGGGAATGCCTGTGTGACCATTCAGGGCTATTGCCCTGTTCCCAGACATCGGTGACAGGTTGAAATGGAAGAGCACAGTCTTGTGCCTCATCGCTAGAGTCCTGCCACTCCGTTGTGCTGCGTGTCCCCACACAGTGGTGTTGCTCTGCTCGCCTAGTCTTCTGGCCAGTCCGTACTGACTGAATCAGGTATAATCTTCTACTCTGCCAGTCATCCACACGTTTCTAGGGGGCTCGTTGGAGATGAAAGAACCTCTTTGTTAATGCATGCATTCCCTTCTCTAGATACTTCTCGAAGCCTTCCTCCAGCTGCCTCCCAGCCTTCAGGTGTTTTCCATACCCCATCTGTGCACTGGAGACTCTTACTCACATCTATTTGCCATCCTTGTATACTTATAAAGAGCCTACTGTGTACTCAGCAAGATGTTAGTACCAGGGAAATAAAACAAAGCTAAAACAGGGGACTTTGTCTTTAAAAAACTGTCAATATAATACCAAAGTCACAGAGAATGTGGTGGAAGGTAGAACGAAACACATGACACTGGACAAGTACTTGCTAAGTACAGTCCTGTGCTTAGTGGTTCTTCAGACGAGCCTCACAGAACCGTACTTTGTGCCCTGGGCGCGGCCGCCTCACTATTCCCGTTATACCTACCAGACTGCAGATGTTGACCATGTACTCTACCAGGCTCATAATGACATGATCTGTCTTAACCCTCTTATCACTGCTGGAGCTCAGAGAGGTTGCCATACAGAACCTGCTGAAAAGCAAGCTCATTCCTAGCAGGGACTTGGGTGAGAGTTAGGATTAGTTGCTTGGGTAGGACAGGAGTGAGGAACAGACAGTGGGGAAAGGCCAAGATAGGACGATGGGAAGGGAGAGGCAAGTTTGAGGGATGTTTGGTTATGTAGGTTTCATAAGCAAGGTGCAGAAGTGGCCCCAAAGGTAGGAGAGCTTTAAACGTCCCTTTGAGGAAAAGTGTTGGTCTTTTGGGGACCACTGGAGCATCATGAGTGCGTTTCCATGGGAGCTGTGTGACAGGATAGCGCAACTGGTCACATTCTATTGTAGAGTTTCCAGAAATGGGGAGGATGGGTGGGAGAGTAAAGGAATAGCCTGGGCAGCCTGTCAGAAGGGCTTGTCTAAGAATACAAGGCGCTGCTCTCTGTTTGGCTTCTCCAGTGTCTGTTCTGCATGTAGGTAAGATTGGGTTGTCCATTTATCTTCCCAGCCCTGCGACTTCAGCTAGATCTGCTCCCACTTCAGAGATGGTGGAAGGCCTTCAAGAGTTGAAGCGGCTTGCTCTAGCTCATAGAGTAGGTGGAAGGAGGCAGCAGCCAGTCTCTCTGAGCACTCTGGTGCGGTGCTACTGGAACAGGAAAGACCTTGCTGGTGTAGATGCACTCAGACTTTCCAGTTGCTCAGATGGGGGCAGGAGGAGACCAAAGTGCTCTGAGGTTGACAGCCTGGGAGGAGATGGAGGAAGTGCAGGGGCAGTTGGTGTTTGGTGAGGGAGGAACGGGGATGAGGTGTTTGATCCAAGGTGGGTATTGAGAAACACAGCCCATCTCCTCCTCCCTCTGCGCCTCACCCCACACCTATTGTTGAGATCACAGTCCCTGCAGGAAGGGAACTGGACACCTCTCCACTCCTGACCTTGGAGGTAGGGCACCCCTCCACTCCTGACCTTGAAGGCAGGACACCCCTTCACTCCTGACCTTGGGGAGCTGGACGTCCTTCTACCCCTGACCTTTGGGAGCTGGATGTCCCTCCACCCCTGACCTTGGGGAGCTGCATGTCCCTTCACTTCTGACCTTAGAGTGTTCTTCCTGCCACTGTTCTATTTCTGTTCCATTCTACCGGTGGCCAGGAATCATTCCAGTGAAATATTTCATGTCCTGTGGAGAAACCAGTATCTCTTTGCAGCTACATAGTGTCCAGTTCCTGTTATAAATTCTGAGTTCAATCTAAAAGCTGTTAAACTAACTCTAACTAAAGGAAAGTGGGTGACAGAGAGGCAGATGCTTGCTAATGAGCTGACTTCTAATTCATTACCCTTTTGGAAATTCCTGATCATTGAATCATATTTATTGACTGATTTGTCAATCCTTTTTTTAAAAAAAATTATTTTATGTATGTGAGTGTATTGCATGCATGCATTTAAGTGCACCTGTGTCATGCAGTGCCCCCTGAGGTCAGAAGTTGGTATTGGATACCTTGGAACAGGAGTTAAGGACAGTTAACCACCTTAACTGACAGGTGATGGGAGTCAAACCCTGGTCTCTGCAAAAGCATTCAGTGCTCTAAGTGATGAACCGTCTCTTCATCCCCTGACTGGTGAATTTTTATATTTCAAAAACCTGAACTGAGTCCTGCCTGGCTTAGAGGTTTTTTTGTTTTGTTTTTTTTTTTTTTGTTTTTGTTTTTGTTTTTGGTGTGCGTGTGGTGTGTGTGTTTAAAGATTTATTTTATTTTTATGTGTGTGTGTGTGTGTGTGTGTGTGTGTGTGTACGTGTGTGTAACTGAGTGCAGGTGTGCTCAGAGTTCAGAGGGGGTGCTGAATCCCCTGAAATTGGAGTTCCAGGTGGTTGTAGGCCGCCCAGTGTGGGTGCTGGGAACCAAACTCAGATGTTCTACAAGAGCAGGATGTGCTCTTAACCACCAAGCCATTGCTCTAGCCACTGATTTCAGAGTTTTCTTTAGTTGGGGAGTTGCTGCAGAAATTTATGCAGGTCTCGTATCACTGAACACCATTCCATGTGAAAAGAGCCCCGAGGCTTTCTCTAGATCGTTTCTCTAGACTTTTATTAACAGTCAGCTTCTCTTCACCTTTGCTTCCCTGTGTGCCCCCATCTCCTTTGAGGACTTTCTCTCCTCTTCTGCTTAACGAATAAGGTTTGGGGGCTATTTCTGGAATCTGTGAACTTGGCACAGGGCAGTCTACCACCCCCTTAAAACAGGTACATTATATGCTCCTGTGTATACACATACATAAGATTTTCCTAAGAAGAGCTGGAGAGGTGGCTCAGCTGTTAAGAACACTGGCTGCTCTTCTAGAGGACCCGAGTTTGATTCCCAGCACCCACGTGGTGGCTAACAACCATCAGTAACTCCAGTTCCAGAGGATCTGATGCCCTTTTCTGGCCTTTGTGGGGCATTGCATGCACATAGTGCACTTACATACATGCAGGCAAAACACTCATACCCACAAAATAATACTGATAAAATATTTTTTTTTTAATTTAAAAAGGATTTTCCTAAGAGTGTGTCTTTATCAGACTCTCAAAGTAATTTGTGTCCCATTTTTTTGCCTCCCACCCCCTCCAAAGATCAAAACCCACTGTTCTGGAATTCCCTTTGGATCAACTCTTTGCACTATAAATCTGGCTTTAATTTTCCCTCAGGAAGCTGGTGGGTGGAGGAGCTGTGTTGCCATGTCAGGATTTGTAAGAGGCAGGGAACAAAGGCCCTGAAAATGTACTGGGACTGGTAGATTATTCCCACGCACTAACATCTGCAGCTCCATTTCTATTAATGCACATTAAATTGTGATGGTCTTATATCTGTGATGTGCACACTTGGGGGTAAACTGTAGAGTACAGTTTAAACCTCTTTTCCCAGGTCACAGAACTGACAAGTGAAACTCAGAGAGGCGAGACTGTAAGGATGACCGTCACTCTCACGAACAAGCTGGTATCGAGCTCCCCGGTGTGCATTCAGTTCTTCAATATCATCTTCAAGAAGTAAGGCAGGCGAGATGTGAATTTAATTTGAACTAGTACCTTTCATCATAGAGCTTGGTATTACAGTGATCAATCACTATATGGTGTGGGTAGTGTTCCAGCAACAGCCCTATCTCTAGGATGCTTTACCAGTGTGCTCCAGTAGTAAGGTGGGACACATTCCATCTCTGCCTCTCTGTGGCACAGATCCTCATTATCCAGACATTATCCATGAATCTGAGAGTTCGTGTCATGGCACTGGTGGCCCCAGCCCTTTCCTTCATTCCCTGTGCCCTGTCCCACTCAGTCCCCAGACTTGGCAGTTCACCAAGTGTGACTTTACCAGTTGACAGATTTGTTTCTCAGCTTTCTGGCTGACTTAGGGTGTAAAAGGCTCTGACTAGCTATTCTGGCTCTACCTTGAGCCCGAGTCCTTCCTCACAGTGTCCCTGGGGCAGAGGAATGACCATAGTGATCTTTTTGCGTTTTTCAGAATGGCCCAGGTGGCTCAGCTACGTTGGGGTCGGGGAATTTGACCAAATGCAGAATCCCTGTCTCCTTACCAGACTTGGTAAACAGATATTCATTGGTAGGACCTGGAAATTTAAAATTGGAGCAAGTTTAAGTGACAGAAGGACACTCTAAAGCATGTGAACTGATTCTACATAGCGTTGATACGTGTCATTAAGATGGCTGTGTTAGGAATCCAGGTGGAGAGATGCTGTCCCTCTGCTCAGCAGCAGTCTCTGGAGCAGAGGTGGGAAGTTTGGGGCTTTACTGAGTAGCCGGGGCACAGACAGTAACTTCCTCTTCCCACACATGCTGTTTCCCAATTTTAGACAGGCATCTTGTTCGGTCTCTCTCGACCCCTCTCTGTGTCCTGTGAGGAGACTGCTATGCCAGCCAACTTAACGGTGCTTTCCAGTGTTTAACCTACTACACCATGCTCACTGGAGCACCCCCACAGGCACTGTTATGTAAACCTTTTCAGATGGAGGCTGGGTTCAGGGATGTTCAGTAGCCAGAGCACAGGGCCGGCACTCCTGCATGCTAACTCAAAGCTTGCATTCTTTCCCCACACCTTGTGTCCGAGTCTGGAGGTCCAGAGGTGACCAGGGTAGAAAGATGCTGAAGATACAGTTATTGTGATTTAGGGGTGCCCTGGGAACCTGAGCGGCTCATCAGAAACAGCTTCCTCGCCTCGAAATAGGGAAGAGGTCAGAAGAGCCGCAGACATGGCTTGCCTCACCATCAGTTACCTAGAATGCCACAGAACTGCAGTTACAGTAACTGAACACATTTATCACTGCAGTTAGATACAGATGGAGAACGATGTTAATTACATAATTTCCTAATATGAAATAGTAGTTCTCATGTAGACACACTCATATGAATAGTGTGTGAATGTTCTAACGTGAGAATTCTGTACATCCTCAGTTTTGTTATATTCATCACAGATTGACTTTGTTTTGTGTGTGTATGGCTGTGTGTTTTGTGTGCATATAGATGTGTATATGTGTGCATGTGTGTTATGTGTGTGCACATGTGAGGGTGCACACTTGCCACAGTATGTGTAGGTCAAAGGACAACCTCCTGTTGGTCCTCACCTCCAGTAGGAGCCATTAAGATTACAGACACACGTTAGCACAACCTGCACCATGCAGGGCCTGGAGATCCAAACTCAGGCCCTTACATTTGTGGGACAGTTTATTCACTGAGCCATCTCCCAAGTCCCCAAACTTTGTATTACACTGTTATTGACAAATATTTACCAAAGATTCAAAAATGTACTTACAGGATCTTAAAAAAGCTGTCTATGTACCAAATTGGACGGAACTTCTACAAGCCCTCAGAGCCAGTGGAAATCCCACAGTACAAGTAGGTTTGTTTATATTTTCTGTTCCTGGGAAATGGTTCTATGGTGAGCAGCATAATTTATGAGGCAACATCCTGCCACTCTGCCTTGCAGGAGGTGTTGTGTGTCTGGGATGTGGAACGTAATGGGCACTTGAGCCTTTGTTGAAGTCAGAGAAGGCAGGGTACTAAAGAGACATTGTCAAGTAAACACAGGTCAGGTGGCAGCCAGCTAATATCCTGGTGTAGAGCAGGGCTGTTCTCAGTGTTGGCAGAATTCATTCCACACTGAGAGGTTGATAACTACAGGAAAGGTGGTCCTCTGTCCCTTGAAGTGGTTGGCAGTCAGCTTTCCAGAATAGTGTGGTCAAGTTAAAGATAGAAAGGTGACTGTTACCTCAAAGATGGACAGGAACACAGGAACACTCCATAAAGGGTAGGAGACTGGGTAGAGCATTTGCCACAGTCACCTGAGCAGAAACTTTCTTGTTCCTGCTATTAGCCCCCTGCCCGGGCGAGAAGTGCCCTTGGGTCTAGACTCTGCTAATGCATAGTAGGTTCTGTGTGCATATGTCTGTTCTGAGGCCGGTCCACAGTGAATTACAGCCTCATAAAACAAATTGGAATGGTTTGTACAAATACTGATTTTTTTTTCATGTCACTTGGTGACTTTTTGTTCAGGACTTTCTAGGGACAGTGCCCTGGGCTACAGTGCCCTTCATCTATCTGAACATGACACAGTTTTTGTTACTTAACTTCATTGTTAAATCAGCTGCTTTCACTTTCAAGATGGTAAGTTTTTCTGACCTGGGTGTTGTCACCCCTGGGAAGATCACTTCATACACATGTGATTCTTACAGGGGTGACATTTTTGCCCCTGTGTACCTTAAGACATCTGGCATCATCTAGAGACATTTGTGCTGGTCACCCGTGGTGGATGCCACCACGATCTATGGGTGGAGGTTCTGCTGGGCGTCCTACAATGCACAAAACAGCATCTTCCAGAAATGTCAGCGGTGACGAGCTTGAGACTCTGCTTCACAGAAGTGTATTGTATCCTAAATTTGTGTTTCTAGATACTGCAGCTGAGAATAATGCTCTAGTCGGCAGCTGGACCAAATGGTACTAAAGGGAGAAAATGCCTCTAGAGAAGGGAGTGAAAAATCCCGTGCGAGAATCTCTGCTTTTCCGAGTATAACACTTTAAATATTGAAACTTATTTTTCTTGTTTTCGAAGATTGTCCGTGTGGCCTGGGTTTGCCGTTTCTGTATCTCACTTTGAAAGCAAACTCCTGTTCGGTGCTGACGTGAGTTACAAAGTTCTGCGCAATGAGACGGTTCTGGAATTCATGACAGATCTCTGTGTCAGAACAGACACGTCCTGCTTCCCCCAGACATGCGAGACACAGTTGGTGGGGCTCATCGTCCTTACCAGGTAGGTTTGGCACCTGACTGTTCCCTAGGATGGAGGTTTAGGGGTGTTTGGGATCTGGATTGCCACTGCCACATTGGCCAGGACACACAGGCCAGGATACAGGTCTGGTTGCTTGGCTCTCTATGCGTGTGGAAGCTGTGGCTGCCAGCTGATGTCACAGCTGACTCCGGCCCGCCCCAAGCCAACATGGCGCAGGCTTTCTCCCGACTTGATCTCACCCTCAGCAGCCTGCACTGTCCTGTTGCCTGATGCCTCTGGCTGGTTCCCCATCCGAAGCCCTGCCTTTCAAATCTCCACCCCACAAATCCAGTTCTAGAGCTAACCCCCACCGCCAGATTCCTGCTTGCCCTCTCAGTTGGAACCGTGCTGTTACCCCCAGCCCCCTTTATGGCCATTTTGTTATGAGTCAGAATGTGAGATCCACAGCTGCCCTCTTGATGAGATTCTGAGACCTTCTAGATATGAGCATGAACCCTGAGCCAAATCACATGCTGGCAGCTTACGTGACTCCTGTGCTCTCAGAAGCTCATCAAATACTGACTTCTCTGGGGGAACATGCTAGTGTCTAGCTTGGAGTGGAATTCCATCTTAGAGCTGGTTTCCTGGCTTGTATAGCAGACAGAAGAGACTGGCTGGGTTCCACACTGCCTGGCACCAGATGGCCCTCTTGTCGGGATCTTGATGCTGTAGATTACCACACTCTTTCAGAGACACTGCCTCGGGTACCTGGAGCTCTGGGGAAGCCTGATGTGAGTGACTTAGCAGCTTCCCAATGCTGAAAGGGAGAAGGTACTTGTTTAGCCCAGTGGTTCTGCAGTTTGGCTGAGGGTCGGCCTGAGGTGAGAGACTAATGCAGGTGCCGGAAGTGAGTGGTTGGCCAGACCACTTTGCTTAATTACTATTTTTTTTTTAATCAGAAAGACCGTGGGAGTTTCAAATATGTGACACCAGAACACGACAGGGAAATTGGGCAGTGCTTCCCCATATGAACATTCAAGAATGCTTGAATGAGCACTAGTCTGTGAGTGAGGCAAACACGGTGGGCTGATGATTTGCTCACCACGTTTGTGGGAACACGGAGGCCTTCCTGAATACCCAAGCATTCATCTTCTTCCCAGATAAGAGCTGATCATGTAGAAAACGTGCTGTGCTTGTGCTAGTGTCTCCCCTAATTTGTGACATTCTGGAGTGGATCTTGTACATTGAATGAATTCAGAGTGTGGGGAGGTAGTCATGCACTTAAGATGATGTGGCAAAGCTTTCCTGGGGTGTCTTGCATTTACCAGATACAACAACAAAACCTACCGTATTGATGACATTGACTGGTCTGTGAAGCCCACACACACCTTTCAGAAGCGGGACGGCTCTGAGATCACCTACACTGACTACTACAAGCAGGTAGGGAGGCTTTTTCTTGTCTCCTTCCCTCCGAGCCTACAGACAGCTCCCCCCGTTTGCTTCAGTTACTTGTCATGCTCTTGTGACCTATCGGACCAGAAGAAACTTGAGGGAGGAAGGCTTTCTTCTGGCTTACAGTTCAAAGTGGGGAGGAGTAGGCATGGTGGCATAGGCAGGAGGCTGGCTGGTCTCTTGCATCCACACTCAGGAAGCAGAGAGTGAACTGGAGGTGGAACTAAGCTGTAAAGCCTCAAGACCAACCCCAGTAACCTGCTTCCCCTAACAAGCTTCCACCTCCTAGAGGTTTCTACAACCTTCCAGAACAGCATTGCAAGCTGGGGGTCAAATGTTCAAATACATGAGCCTGTGAGGGACATTTTACATTCACAACACTATTCCCTCCCAAATGCCCTGAGTTGTCAGGGTGAGCCTGCCTCCCACATAATTCCCTGACCTGTCCCTTCTCCTTCTGTCTCTGGCTTGGCTGAGACCGTCATCCTGCCTCCTATTCATCTGGTAGTCTGAGGAATCTTCCTTAAAAGCAAAGCTGATCACCTGCTTATGTTGCATCCAAGCTTAAAACATTCCTGAAACTGTTGCTTTAGGAGTCAGATGGAAGCTGCTTTGTGGACGACCCTTAGCCCTCTGTGATCTGACGACCCTTGGCCCTCTGTGATCTGACGACCCTTGGCCCTCTGTCATCTGACGACCCTTGGCCCTCTGTCATCTGACGACCCTTGGCCCTCCTCTGTGATCTGGTGACCCTTGGCCCTCCTCTGTGACCTGACGACCCTTGGCCCTCTGTGATCTGACGACCCTTGGCCCTCTGTGATCTGACGACCCTTGGCCCTCTGTGATCTGACGACCCTTGGCCCTCTGTGATCTGACGACCCTTGGCCCTCTGTGATCTGACGACCCTTGGCCCTCTGTCATCTGACGACCCTTGGCCCTCTGTCATCTGACGACCCTTGGCCCTCTGTCATCTGACGACCCTTGGCCCTCTGTCATCTGACGACCCTTGGCCCTCTGTCATCTGACGACCCTTGGCCCTCTGTCATCTGACGACCCTTGGCCCTCTGTCATCTGACGACCCTTGGCCCTCTGTCATCTGACGACCCTTGGCCCTCTGTCATCTGACGACCCTTGGCCCTCTGTGATCTGACGACCCTTGGCCCTCTGTCATCTGACGACCCTTGGCCCTCTGTCATCTGACGACCCTTGGCCCTCTGTCATCTGACGACCCTTGGCCCTCTGTCATCTGACGACCCTTGGCCCTCTGTCATCTGACGACCCTTGGCCCTCTGTCATCTGACGACCCTTGGCCCTCTGTCATCTGACGACCCTTGGCCCTCTGTCATCTGACGACCCTTGGCCCTCTGTCATCTGATGACCCTTGGCCCTCTGTCATCTGGCTGTCCATCTTTCACTTTCTTTTTCTTCCCCATCCCTTCCCTTCTGCTCTGCACTGCTGGCCTTTTGTGACTGTTGACACAGTTCTTGCCCTATGTGTGTTCACATGCTTGGCTTCCTCTTTCTGGATTCCCCTGTAAGCCACACACACGTTGAGCGACTTTTGGGTTTCAGGCGGCAGGTCCTGTGGGGACCTGTGGTATGGATCTAGGATGCCCAAGGCCCCAGGACTCAGCTGCATCAGATTGGCTTGGGCAGGGCTGAACAGTCTGACCTCGCCCTGGACAACTGTCTCTTCAAGGTGGGCTTTGAGCTCTCGTTTCTGGGAACCCTGAGCCAGCACAGGTCCTAGCCCAAAGCAGATAGTCAGGAAACCTGGGGCCTCTGTCCGCCTCCGGAAGCGCTGTGCACACTTACCAGAGTCACAACTGCCCTTGCTTCCAGGCTCCCTGCAGAGGCGTGTCTCTAATCATTCAGAGCTCTCAGATCTCACAAATGTGTTAAACAGAAACCAGATGCCAGTCCTTGATTTTTACCCACCTTTGGGAAAATCTGTTTCTCTTTAGCCTGTTTTGGAAAATCACTGCAGTAAAGCCCTCTTTGGGTCTTCCTTCCTGAAGTGTCACCAGCCTTGTCTCTGACTCTGGTGCTTTGGAAATAGCTCTGTGAAGGCCAATCACTTACCTTCCTTAGACTGGTCTTGTGTGTCATTTTTTTTTTTTTTCTTACCGATTACACATTCTGTAGGGCACAGGGTGATGCTTGGGGACATTTTCACAGTTGGGTCCCTGAGATCATGAAGTTAAACAAAAGAAGCGAGGCACAGAAAGGCACATACTGCACCATTTTACCTTGGAATCGGAAACAGCTGAGCTCATAGGATTAGCCTGTGGAACAGTGATCCTGACCAGAACCAGGGAGGGTCATGGGGAAGGAGGTCATGTGAGAGATGGGCTCCTGGGGACAGTCACAGTCAGACGGGAGGAATGCATTCTGGTGTTGCACACTGAAGGCGAAGCAGATGACAGTTAACACTGCACTGTATATTTTAATGGAATTTTCCCCTGTGACCTCACCCACCTGCCTGCCCTGACCCTCCCTCCCTTCCTTGATTCCTGGTCACATCCTTTTCGGCCCTGCTGTGTCAGCCTCTTCTTCATGTCCTTCCTTCCCCCAAGAAGTGATGTCACTGACCGTGACTCCTCCCCCAGGACCCTTCCCTTGTATTTTGAGGCTGCCCAAGTACAGTAATTTTGCCTCGCTCTGGTTCCAGTCACATGCTTCCCTCCATCTCCAGAATATGTATTTGTGTGAATGTCCTGCGGGAATCCCATACTGACTTCATTCAGATGGGCGTCGTCCTTTGCTGTTTCTGTTTGTCCTTGGGAAGTCTGCATCTCAGCGAAGTCTTTGTGCTTTCTCCCCTTTTCTCTTCCTCCTCCCCTCCTCTTCCTCTCCTCCTGTGAGCACAGGGTCAGGCCCTGTGCCTTCCTCTCTACCCTCTCCTCCTTCGTCTCTGGCATCACTTTCACCGCATCCCACCTTTTAGCCTCATCTTCCTCAGCCTCCCTCATACAACCCATGCTGTTAATATCCATGTGCAGTTGCTGGACACTGATGCCCCCCCCCAGTCAATGTGCATGGTCCTTCCACACCTGCATATGGCCACATCGTACATGTCTCCACCACCACTATGTCAAATCATAGCTTCAGGATCATGTCACCTCATCTGGGACTTGCTTTCTGGTCTCAAGAGCCAACCACCAGTATATCACATTGTTTCTAGGACATGTTGTCTTTATTGAACAGGGATGGCCTTTGGAATTCTTGATGCACAATTGCTGTCCAAGTATCTTATGGATAGAATGTACTCTTATGTGTTCATTAAATCCAAAATTTGTTAGATGTTTGGCTTTCTGCACTGTATGATTGAGTGGATTCTTATTTGAACAGATGTTTGTTAGGGCCTGTCATTTCTAAGAAGGAAATCATGGCAAGACCTTGGTCCTTCTTCGGGGGTGAGTTGAGATGTACCACCTATGTACTGCAAGTAAGGAGAAAAGGAAACACGTTGACTCTCACAATGTCTCCCTCTCATTAAGGCACATTAATTTTCCATGTACTCCATTTTCAAAGTAGAAGACATTGTCTTGTGAAAAATATTTTTAAATTCTAAGAAAATTGGGGAAAGGGAGGGGCAAAGTTCACCTTTAGAGCCATTTGGGGGGGGTCGGTGCTTGGCCCTGGTCCATTGAAGGAGACCCTCTTCTGAGAGCTTGCCCAGCTTTGGTGAACTGTTTTGTAGAACTTTCTTGCTTCCACATCTGCTGAAAGCTCTCATAGCTTACATCCTTAATTATAAGTGTTGATGCCATTATAGCATAAGTCCATATAATTTCGTAAATTATAATTCCATTTTGTCACTAGTTATACTGAAGTATTAGCTGTGACTTTGCTTTTGGAAGTGAACTTTTGGCAAGGTCAGAATATAGAAATTCGACTTTAGAAAGGGAGAGGGAGTGGGGGTGTGATGAGACCGCTTCAGGGACAAGCCAGTCAAGCAGTTTACCTGGGAAACTTCAGAGCTGTTGTCACCTTCATGCCCTAGATGGGGAAAGCTGACAGACTCCTCTCGTGTCACAGACGGTGAACAGAAGAGCTGTCTGTCAAATGCCCGTGTGGGTTGTGAACGGCTTCCCTGTACCATGGATGTTACAGGCCACCCATCCTGGATGTCCACACCTCTCATGCTCTTCTGGGAAATTGACTGACTCAGTCTGACCTTTGCCTGCAACATGGGTGAACATTTTCAAAGTGGATTCGGATGGTCAGAACCAGTTACTTTAGCACCGGGCCATATGCCTCAGTCATTTACGGCAGAAATGCTGTCTTTGAGTCAGTCCTGGGGAGGCTGTCTACTGAGCTACCTGTAGAACCAGCTGGTGGCTAGTCTGAATCTGGAGGAAACCCAGAGGGGGCAGGGGAATAATCAGAGGTGTTGCTTTATAAAAGATAGTAAGGGCCACCAAGACGGCTCAGTGGGTAAAAACCCCTGCGGCCAAGCCTGACTCCCTAAGTTTGATCTCTGGGACGCACACCATTTCAGGAGGAGAAAATGCCATGCCACAAGTATGTGCACACACCCTAAATAAATAAAAATTACTTAAAAAATAAAAGGTATAAAAGATGAGTCCTGGATGGAAAGTCGTAAGGCTAGGAAAGCGCAGCTGCCCCCCACTGAAGATCTGCTCGGAGGTTCATTTGGGATCTGTGTACTGATGTGCCTCTGCTCCATTCCCATCTCCACTTTCCCTTCGTTAATCTTGTGTTTTATAGCAATACGATATCACTTTATCTGACCTAAATCAGCCAGTGCTTGTTAGTCTGCTGAAAAGAAAGAGAAATGCCAGCATGGAGCCGCAGGCGGTCCACCTGATCCCAGAGCTCTGCTTTCTCACAGGTAAGGCTTGTGTTTAGAACTCCACTGGGCTCAGCTGTGGGCAGAGCCTCCCTGGGTTAGCTGAGTGCTCTTAGTGGGCCCTGTAAGTAGCTTGGGCACTAGTCAGGCCCAGCGGGAGGACAGCAAACCCTTCGAATCTCCTTCCTCATGCATACCATTTGATGTCAGTTTGGCCTCTGGCCAGCTTCCTAAAGTCAGGTGGCCTTTGGGCTGTGTTCTTGAAGTTTACTAGTACAGGAAGTTACGTGACTTTGCTTTTCATTAGATATTTTGTTAGAGTGACCTTAGTTTCTTCATGCATGAGTTTCCAAAAAGCAATTCACATTATAGTATAGCCTGTGTAAATGTTAGCAGCCTTCATTTGACTCTAGCATGTGGCTAAGAAAGAGGGATGGCCGGGTGTGGTGGTGCACGCCTGTAGTCCCAGCACTTGAGAGGCAGAGGCAGGTGAATCTCTGTGAGTTCAAGGCCAGCCTGGTCTACATAGTAAGTTCCAGGACAGCTGGGGCTACCCTGTTAGTGCTTTTTACTTACCTGTGTTGCTTTCTTTATGACTATAAAGAGCTGTTTTGTGAATAGACACAAATGGAACACAGTCTTTGGAAGTGGGGGTATTCATTCCTGCTGTTTCTCTCATATGGTAACCCTGTATCAGTCTGACACGTAGTCCTTGCCTATGAGTTTATTGAACAGTTGTAGTGTTCCTAGCTCCCCTTAGAAACAGAATGAGATGTGCTAAGTATGACACATGAGATTGCGAATATTTAATATTAAGCAAACTTAATTGAATCATACTTTTCTATTAATTCCATCTTAAAATACTGGTGTATTTAATACATACTATTTGAAATAAGTTCATCCATTTCCTTTTGCCTTTTAGAAACATGGCTACTAGGAAACTTCTTTTAAAATATTGAGATAATGTCTCACTATGTAACCCAGGTATGCCTTGAACTCACCTATGTAGCCCAGGCTGGGCTCCTGAGTCTGGGATTACAGGTGTGCCCCACCACCCCCGGCTGCTAGAAAGTGTTCATGACAGGTGGGGTTTGCATTTCTTCCGAGCGGAGCTCTGCAGGTGGTGAATCTGACAGGTTTGAATGGAAAAACTGAGTCTGATCTGGGCCAGCCCCTCTTTCTGTGTTGCTTACATTTCACAGGTCTGACCAGCCAGGCGACCTCAGATTTCCACCTTATGAAGGCGGTAGCTGAGGAAACACGGCTCAGTCCTCTGGGCAGGCAGCAGCGCCTGGCCAGGCTTGCCGATGACATCCAGAGGTATGGCTGCCTTCGCGTGTGCCCTGTGTGATGCCGAGCGCGTGGGACTGAATGTTTTAGATGAGGCTTTGTTTGTTGATGAGAAGGTCTAATCTTATGGCTCAGAGGAAAGCACTGAGGAGCTGAAATGGTTATGTATTGAGCCCCCTGGTCCAGCCAAGCCCTGAGCTGGTGTGGGATTCGAACAAGCAGGGTCCTGCTGTCGTCCAGTGAGCACAGTGAGCTCTGGGTACAATTTTGAACAAAGAAAAGGGTTACACACACACGTAAATAAAATCAAAATAAAATAAAAAACAACCAAATCCTACTCCAGGCTCCCAGGACTGGGCATGGGGATGCCCAGATCCTGGTGTGGCGGCCTCAGAAGACAGGAGGTTAGGAAACCCACTGAACACAACCTTTAAATTGAGGTCTTTGTCCTGCTCAGCTCTCCCAGTTCTCAGACTCTTGCCCTTGCTCAGTTCACTGTGACCTGTGAGGAGAGAGTTCACTTCCCCCACGTTCTCCTTCCTGACTTCCTAGATTGCTGTTCCTTATTGTGGCCTGTATGCTGGGGGAACTTGAAACGTGGCCAGTGACACACTTCCGGCTGATAGTATTACAGATATATTAGATTAAATAAATGCAGTTTCTTTCATAGCTTCTAACTCTTAATGTGGCTACTGGAAATTTTAAGTTGTGTTCGTTGCTTTGTATTTCTGTGGCCCACATTATGGTAAGATGGTCATTTTTCTTTAAAACTACTTTTAAGTAATATTACCTCATGGAGAAATCTGAAAATTCGTAGAAGCAAAGTAGAAGATAGGGAACACTTAATTTAATGGATGAATCACTTGACTGAATTTTTTTCAGACATTTGTAAATGCATCCAGCATAATCCCATTTTTTATTTGTTTTGTTTTGTTGTTTGGGACCAGGCCTCCCTGTAGCCAGCTGACCTGGAACTTCCTGTGTGGATCAGGCTGGCCTCCATCTCACAGAGCTCTGCCTGCCTCTGCCTCCCAAGCGCTGGGATCAAAGTCACCTGCCACCATGCCTGGCCCAGTTTGTAACTCTTTCATTTCACTTTCCATATGATAAACATAGTTCCCACACTATGGATACAGTTTCCGCTACTTCTTGTGGACACCCCCCCACCCACGTACACCTACCAGAGAAAAGCTTCTGGCTTACCCCCATCTTCTGATGCAGCATCTGCCTCCTGTACAGGGATTGCCCCGTGTTCTGACTAATGATGACCTCACCCAGCTCCTCTACTCAGTATCAGAGGCAGAATAATTACTGCAAGGATTGAGTGTGAGGCGACATAACCTTAGTATTTGGAAATAGCGCTCCTTATGGACTCAGAGCAGTGAGGTCTGAGCTCCCTAAGAAACCAGGCGGAGATTTCCATGGCTCTTGCCAGAATCCTGTCAGTGCCTGGCTGATGCTGTCTGGGAACTCTGTAGGAAACAAGATGCCTTCAGCATGCCCGGCATCTTGGGAAGCTTGCAACTCAGTGGAACTCTCCCTCCATCCGGATCCCATGAGCTAAAGCAAACCATGATTAAAGTGTCCTAAGTCACAAAGTTTAATAAAAACATTAAGGACTATTATTAGTGCTAATGCTGGTCTCCTCCGAATCTCCCTGTTACCCAGTGTATCCTATGAATTTTCTGAATCCAAATTATTTTGTCTTAAGGATGTACTTTTTCACAGTTTTCTGTACAAGAAAACATATATGATGTGGTCTGGTTATGTTCCCTCTGGCAGTCTCCGTCCCCCCTGACCCCCGAATCCCTCCTTCCCAAGAAGGCCTTTTGGGGGGCCACTGCATTTAATTGGGGCTGCCTGTGAGTGTGGGGGAGGGGTTGTTTATTGGCAAGGGCAACTTGCCAGGCAGAGTCAACCACTGAGGAGTAGGCTCCCCCTCCCCTGGCAGCATTAAATGCTCAAAGCTCCACAGGGCGGGGTGGGGCCTCAGGATCCCCTCCCCCACACAGGATGGAATCTTGGTGGGCCTGGTCTGTGCAGGTAGCCACCCCTGCTCTGAGCTCATGGGTACAACAGCCATGTCTTGTACAGAAGATGAAGGTGAATGCCCCCTCCCCCTCCTTTACACCCCCCATCTACTTCGAAGTCAACAAATGAAACTATTCCCTGGAGACATCTGCACGTACACACTCCAGAGAATCCCTTTAATAAGTGGTTTCTTAAGAGAATGACACTACCTCACATTTTGGGGCATGTGGCATGTGGCAGACACTGTGGTAACCATTTTCAAGTCCCGTCTTTTTAAATCCTTGCAACTGTATGATGGAACTTTTATATTTTGCTAGTCAGGAAGCCAAGGTTTTTGAAAAATTGTTTGTTCATGGCCACATGTTGTTAAACGATAGGTTTGGGAGTTCAAATCCAGTCTGCCAGGCCCAACAGTTCATTTTTATAACCAGTGTGCCCCCTGGAATCCTCCCCTCCCTGCACATTCCAGATGCACATAGGAGTCACATCACTCTTTTGAGCTGAAAAAAACATTGTGAGAATTAGGAGCCAGGAATCCTAAAGATGGAAATCATCCCTGAATAATTCACACCGGTCGTTTTATGTCTGATATGTAAAAGTCTTTAGCAAACACACAGTCCAATGGTTATAAACAATTCTGTCCACAGGAACCAGGTGGCTAGGTTCGAGCTGGAGACCTGGGGATTGCATTTTGGAAGCCAGATGTCCCTGACGGGCCGGGTTGTTCCTTCAGAAAAATTAATAATGCAGGACCACATAGTACGTGCTTGATTTTATTTTCATTTGAAAGTGGTTACTTAAAAAGGTGTAGATTTGATCATGTGTGGGGTGATGGGGTTTGTAACATGTGCCGGGCTTCTCTGAGGCTGTTCCGCTGTTCTGTGTTTGTCCTAAGACTACAGATCTCAGTTCCTCTTTGGTGTGAATTTAGTTGCATGGACTTAGCAGCACCCAGTGGACATGATTTAGGTCAATAGACCTAAATGGTATTGCAGTGGTATTTCAAACCGTTGGAAGTTACACATGCCTGCCTGTCACGGGTTGTCACTCTAGATAACCCAAAACAAACCAACAACCAAAGTTACCTGAGAAAATTCACCCACTAGAAGAGTGACTTTAACGGCGCTGGCCAGTTTAGGAGAGAAGTGAAGAGATTCCCGCAGACCCCATCCCCGAATGTAGCATCTGGGCAGAAGCTGAGTTGTCGAGAGAAATGGTTCCTCCATTCAGGCGTCGGTTGAAGAAATGAACCTGTGTAAGCCTTCCCTGTCCCTTCTGTCCACTTCTAAGGCCAGGTGCATTTCACTTCATATAAAAAGCCTCTCTTGTCTTTGTTATAACAACCAACCTGTCAAAACCAACCAAATGACCAATGTCTCATTTTGGCAAAAAAAATTTTTTTAAAATCTTTTTGATGCTCTAGCCACATCACTAAAACCTTTATTGGAGGGGAAAAGTAATTTTTAAAGCAAGACTTTGTAGGGGCTAGAGAGATGATTCAGCAGTTAAGGGCACTGGCTGCTTTTGCAGAGGACCCAACCCTCTATAACTCCTGTTCCAGAGGATCTAATACACTCATTTGGCCTCTGTGGGCATTGCACAACATGGGTGCACTCACATACATGCAAGGCAAAGCACTCATGCACACAATAAAAACAAGTCAACATTTCGTAAAAGCGAGATGGGTCAGGAAAGAAAAGCTCGGTTTCAAATCTGCATGTGAAGGAGGGTTTTAACTGCTTCAAACAGCCTGTCACCACCTCCATGTGTCCATGCAGTGAAATTCCCACCAATGCAGCTTTTCCTTTTTCCATTTTTCAGTGTGGAAATAGGTCCTTGAAAAGAAAGGGTATCAAAATGGAGGAGCTGTGTGACCGGAGAGAGCAGTCATCAGTCCCCAGGCCAATTCTTTACTGAATCCAGGTCCTAGGAGCTGAGTGTAGGCACCTTGTCCTGGGTTGCCATTTCCACAGGACAACGGCAGCCAGTGCTGTGAGAGAGCCAGGCTCTTGGCGCATGGGGCTGTAGTAAGCAGGAATGAACTGGGAGGCTGGCCTTCCTCTTTGTGTGCTGAGGTTTCCTGTAGCTGAGTCACACCTGACCACCTAATGAAGACAGTGGTCCCCTGGCTGTGATATTAAGCCACTGGCATTCTAAACTTAATGTCAAATAGCTCTTAGTCTCTCCCTCAGCTACTGCATTTAAGTGTATAAAACAGGAGCATTCCGTTGTTTCTTGAACACTTAACAGCCTCAGGACTGGGGACATGACTCAGTGGGTGAAATACTTGCTATGAAACTTGAAGATCTCCAGCACCCACATAAAAGGTTGGGGTTCGGCAGCTTGCATGCATAATCCTACACAGGGAGGCAGAGACAGGAGGATCCCTGGGGCTTTGAATTGGTGAGCACATCAGGTTCAGTGACAAACCCTGCCTCAAAAAATAAGGTGGAGAACCAGTTGAGTAAGAAACCTGATGTTGACCTCTGGCCTGCTACCCGTATGCATCTGCACTTGCACATAACATGGTCGCACACACAGATACCCCCAAACACACACACACTGTTGGCCTCATCTTTGCTTCTAGATGCAGCTTTTCCTCAGCTGACCCAGTCTTAACTGTCCTGTGGGTTTGTCCATTGTACTGTAATGAATCAGACATCATTTTCAATTGGCAGTATTAGGATGCCTCAAGTAACGAGTCCGAAAGGGACAGCCTGCTTCCCTGGACCATTGAGACAGGGCATAAAGTTAGAGCTGGAAGGGAACCCCAAGATACCACAGTGACGTGTTCTCTGCACGCAGCAGGGCCACAGGAAGTCCCACCTGAGGTGGTACACCCAGGGCCCAGCAGACCCAGCATGATGCCGCTGAGTCTCCAGTCCCCAGAAGTACATGTTCTGTTGAGATGTGAGCTGTTCAGTGTCATGTGACACTGAACAGCAAACCATATTTAGGTGTTTTATTGTGACACACATTATCAAATTGCCTCTGCATAACTTTTCTCAATCCTTTCGTGATCTTTACTTCTCAGTGTCAACCTGCATCTGCTGCCGACTGGTCCAAGGATATAAGAGCCTGCAAGGTTCTAAGTTCTCAGTCTTTGACTACATGGTTGATTTTATGCAGTAGCAGAGCTGAAAATAGGATTGAAGGCTTTCTGAGCTGTTTGAGAAGAGTTGGAAGCACCATGGGATTTAACGTGGGCTACCCCAAAATGTGAGCATACGGTGAACTTTTTTCATGCATTAATATGGTTTGAATATTGCAAACAATGGCTGACATCGCTACAAAAGTTTCATCTCAGTTATGTTTTCAAAAGATTTTTAAAAGCATTTTGTGTATCTGTGAGTATGTGCAAGTGAGTGCAGGAGTCTGAGGTGGTCAGAGGTGACAGGTCCCCCTGGAGCTGGAGTTACGAGAGTTGAGAATCACCCAGTGTGGGTACTAGGAACCAAACTCTGATTCTCTGCAAGAGCAGTGCAGAGCTCCTAAATGCTGAGCCGTCTCTGTAGACTTTCAGTAAAATTTCTTAAAAGTGTCAAAGATAGGGGGCTGGAGAGATGGCTCAGCGGTTATGAACACTGGTTGTTCTTGCAGAAGACCTAGGGTTTGAATCCCAGCACCCACGTGGCAGCTAACAACTGTCCATAACTCTAGTCCCAGGGGATCCAACAGCCTCTTCTGACCAATGCGGGCATTGCACAACACACGGGTACACTTACCTACATGCAGGCAATCACACATACACATGAAATAAAAATAATAAATAAAATTTTAAAAATGTCAAAGAGTCGGGCATGGTGGCACATGCCTTTGATTCCAGCACTAGGAGGCAGAGGTGGGTGGATCTCTGAGTTCAAGGCCAGCTTAGTCTACATAGTTCAAGGGCAGCTGGAGCTAGAGGGAGACTCTGTCTCAAAAAGACAAAAAAAAAAAAAGTCAAAACCAGAAGAATACAGGTTTTATAATTAACAAATTGTTTTGTAAAACTAGGAGTATATTTTATGTTTATCTTTGTGGACGTTTTCTTTATAGTTTTTCTTTTTAAAACTTTATTATGTGTATGAATGTTTTACCCACATGCATGTAAATGCACCCCTGTCATGCAATGCCTGTAGAGGCCTGAAGAGGGTGTCAGATCCCCTAAAACTGGAGTTATGGATGGTTGTTCGCCATCATGTGGGTGCTGGGAACTGAACCCAGGTCCTCTGCAAGAGCAGCCAGTGCCCTTAACCACTGAGCCATCATCTCTCCAGCCCCTTATAGTTTTTCTTAAGGCAAGTCTTATTCCCTCAGAATCCTCCCCGGTATCAGTTGGTGAGTGCACCCTTAGCAGGTCTGTGTGCCGCCTTCTCTGATTTTTTTCCTTTCAGCTCAGTTATTTATTAAAAACAGGAAATTTAAACACTTTCCTGACTGACTTGATTATAGGCTTGGAAATTTAATGTTACTATATATTAGCATTTAGATAGCCTTCTGATAAAGCGAGAGCACTCTTTCATTCTTTGAACTTTGAGTATTTACTGTACGCTAACTACTGAATTAGTTGTTGTGACTGAGAAAGACACAGAAGTTACTTTAATTGCGCTGGGTATGATGGCACATGCCTTTAATCCCAACACTCAGGAGGTAGAGGCAGGTGGATGTCTTCGAGATAGAGGCCATCCTGGTCTATATAGTGAGTTCTAGGCCATCTGGGGCTACATAGGGAGAGCCTGTCTCAAAAAGTAAATAAATACAATTAAAAGAAATTACCTTTAACTTGTTTGCTTTTAAAAAGAGCCATAAGGGCTTGGGAAGTGTTTCAGCAGTTAAAATGCTTGCCAAACAAAAGCTTGAGGACCAAAGTTTGGATCCCCTAAACCCATGTAAGAGACTGAGTGGGCATGGCAGCCTGTCTGTAATTCCAGCCTTGGGTAGAGGAGACAGGGCATCCCCAGAGCTAGCCGGCCAGCAAGACCAGCCATATTAGTGATCTCTGGGTTCGAGAGGCTCTGCCTCAGTGAATAGGACAGGCGAGCCATGGAGGATGATTCCTGACCTCAACCTCCAGCCTCCACATGAATGCAAAAAATATGCAAACATATATGCAAAACATACACACACACACAAAATGGGAAAAGAAAATATTAGATCCACAAGATTGACCATGCCTCACTTGACCTTGACGTGCTAATATATTGCAACAGCCACTTCTTCGTTACAGTGGATGTGCACGTGTCCTAATTGGCACCGTGTGAAGTTATTCTTTACACACATAGCCACTAATTAATTACATCAGCAGCATACGTGTACATTACCGTAAGCAAAGGCTCTTCTCAGTCATCTCATTTTACAGCACAGTTTAGAATTCTCTTACCGAATCTACTGACAAATCCCCTGGTTCAAATTTCCCCTGCTCTAGTTTCTCTTAAGCCACAAACTGACATACCAGGAAACGAGGATGGGAAAAGTCTGCAGACCTAGGCTGACTTGGCAGACTGTGAGCCACACAGGTTCAAGCCCATGTCCAAGCTCATGTCCATGTCTTCAGTGTTTGTTATTCGAAAGCCTTAATGTTTGTTCCACGTTTCCACATTCATGAAGTATTCGTTTACCTCTTGGATTTGCACACGTAATGTCTTTCATATAAACATCTGCCTGGAGACAGTGAGAGGTCGAGTTGGAGTGCAAGGGCCTGCACTGGAAAAGTCAGAACCTGACTGAGTTGCTGAAATGGTGTGTCCAATCATTCAGGTGGCTGTGCCCGAAGTGGTGGTCAGGGGCTCCTGTCCTGGCTCTGACACCTGCTGGGGAACTCTTGAAAGACTACCAGCACTGAGCCTGCCCCACCTTCTCTTGGTTTCTCTCCCTCCTCTCCCTCCCTCCCTCTCCCCCTCCCTGGCCCCCTTTCTCTCTCCTCCCTTCCTCTCCTCCCTCCCTCCCTCTCTGGCCCCCACTTCCCTTCTCACACACAAAAGATGCTGATTTGATTGTACATGAAGAAACTAGATTGGCAAATGCCTGCACGTAGGAGTTATTTCTGTGGCTTCTGGCCCCTGATTTAATGTTACATAATTGATAAATGCTTGTTGACTGATTGACTGATTAAGGCTGGATATTCCAGGCTTCAAATACGCTGCTCCAGCCGGGCGTGGAGGTGCACGCCTTTCATCCTAGCTCTTGGGAGGCAGAGGCAGGTGGATCTCTGTGAGTTCAAGGCCAGCCTGGTCTACATAGTGAGTTCCAGGACAGCTGGGGCCATAGGGAGACCCTGTCTCAAAAAGACCAAAAAAAAAAACCGAACAAATATGCTGCTCCTCAGGAGGTAAACACAAGCAAAACCCCTACCCTCTGTTTGTGGGATTTTTGCAGATTAGTTGAAAACCCTGGCCTCATTAACTTGATTCCTAAAGCTTTCATTTACAGATTCTCATAGAGATTCAGCATATCAGAAATCTTAACATCAGACCTTTGATAGGAGTTTTTAACTTCAGAAGTTCACTTTCAACTCAACTTTGGATAACTATTAACTGTGAGAATTCTGTACAGTTGAGAAAAATCTCTTTTCTTTACCAATTCTTACATGCTAACAAAATGATAAGTATTTTTGGCACTCTGTACCAGAGAAACAATGTTCGAGTCAACAGATTTTCACTTTGCTCTGACACATTTTTCTCCTAAATGACAAGCCTGCTAGAAAATCCATTTGTACTTTTTTGAAACACCATATGATTATGTGCTATTAAGAAAGAAATTAATCTCTTTATGCAGCATAAAAGTACAAGAAAACCCAGCCTCGTTTCTTAGAGCCATCCAGCAGCACGTTGACCCTGATGTTCAGTTGGTAAGTGTGGGGTGTATTTTGAGTTTTAGATGCACAATTTTTTTGCTTTATATCTGTACTCTTTTTTTTTTTTTTTTTTTTTTTGTCTTTTTGAGACATGGTCTCCCTGTAGCCCCAGCTGCCCTGGAATCATTATGTTGACCAGGTTGGCCTTGAAGAAGAGATCCACCAGTTTCCGCCTCCCAAGAGCTGAGATTAAAGGCCTATGGCACCACGCCCAACATACCTGTAGTCTTAAAAGAAGGAATCTTGCAATTACTATGCATTTCCTCCAAACACACAAGAAAGTGTAAATGCCAGTATTTTGATCAATATGTTTTCCTAATTTTGACAATTTTTAGTTTTTTAATTGAATTTTTGTGACTATTGTACAAGGTATTTTGATCCTATTTAGATCGTATTTAGATCCCGTCTGCATCTGCTTCCCCCTGTACCGTCCACCCAGTTTCCTGTACTCAAGAACATGTATTTGGGCCTGTAGAATCCAGTCTGTGTCCCCAGTTGCCCTTCAGTGTGGGTCTATCCATTGGAACCTGGTCAGCCTACCAAGAGTCTTTAATCAAGACAGACTGCCACTGCTCCCGGCTCTTTTCAACATCCTGCACCTGCATATTTTCCAGCTTGCTGGGCGTCACCTTTAGATTTAAGATTTAAAAGAAAGTGACCCCATCTCATCTGATACCCTTAGAGTACCTGTTTGCATCACAGCACTTTGGGAAATGCTCTCACGGTCTAGGTCTCTCCTAGCTGCCTGTGGCTTCAGGTCCTGCTCCAATGACTAAATCTCTCCCAGGAGCTTCTGGCCTCAAGGTTCCCTGCGTCCTTGCCACTGCCTATGGGTTTCATCTGTGGTGAATTCCATTCATCCTGCACAGCAGGGTCCAGTGGGACACCTGCCTCATTTCCCAGAGTTGTAATTTGAGCACCTGTGTGTGCGTGTGTGCATCTGCTCACTTGTTTTGTGTATGCGTGTACCTGTGTGTATGTGTGTGTTTACCTGCTTGCCTGCATGAATGTGTGACTGTGTGCATACGTGCATGTGTGTGTGTGCCTGTGTTCCTGTTTGCACGTGTGCATACCTGAGTTTGTGGACAGGAGCTTAAGCGTGATTTCACCAGACTCCAGCTTTCCAGACAAGTTAAAATTGGTATTCCATTCAGAGAAAACTTTTTAAAAATATTTTATCATTTCTATCTTATGTGTATGAGTGTATTGCCTGCATGTATGTGAGTGCACCTGTGTCATGCAGTGCCTGGAGGTCAGAAGAGGGTGTCGGATTCCCCTGGAACTGGAGTTAAACAGATGGTTGTTAGCCACCATATGGGTGCTGGGAATAGAACCTGGGTCCTTTGCAAGAACACCCAGTGCTCTTAACTGCTGAGCCCTTGCTCCAGCCCCCACCCCCCAAACCTTTCAGCCTACAAATATGTATTCTTCTCTTAGGCCTTGGCCTCTACAGTTGAGGAATGCAGTTATATGCCTGTTCAGTTCCCCTGTGTAGTCATCTCTGATTCTGTTGGATCACACACAGACATGGTATCTAATGGAGATTATATTACATGAAGAGAATTCTCACCCTCAGAGCATTTAATTCAGTGAGAGAAACTTTAAAAGAAAATATAAGAATATACAAAGAGTTACATCCCAGAATCCCTAGTTACCGGCAATGCACCACACCTGCTTTATCATGTCCTTTGTTTTTCAAAACCATTTGAGGGTAAGTTGATGCTTATGCCCACAGCTGTTGAATACTTCTGGTGCATATGTTCCATAAACAAGGTCATTCTGCTTAAGAACCCTGGGCCAGTAGCCAGCAAAGGAGAAAGGGGAAGCAGGACAGGGAATGAGGGGACTAACAGAATTGGTCTAGAAGTCGAGGAAGCACGGGGGCATGTGTCCCTCCTTGTGTGGCTGACTTTGCCAAGGGTGACGGGGCATTGGAGTGGGGTTTACGGGGCAAAAAGGCATTTCACATGGCCCCAATTTGGGGTTCACAGGCATGATCACATTTGCTGTGTGGGAACTTAGGAGGAAGGTGTTTCCAAAATCCACACGTTCTTTTTCCCCAACAAGCTGTTCCAAGTGTCAGTAGATGGAGCTGATCTGCTCTCTTTGCTTTCAGGTGATGTGCATTCTGCCTTCTAATCAGAAGAATTACTACGACTCCATTAAAAAGTACTTGAATTTGGACTGCCCGGTCCCGAGCCAGTGTGTGCTGACCCGGACCTTGAACAAGCAGGGGATGATGATGAGTGTAGCCACCAAGATCGCCATGCAGATGACCTGCAAACTGGGCGGCGAGCTGTGGACTGTGGAGATCCCTGTGAGACCATCATTCCTTCCCTTTCACGATCAGTCAATTCCCAAATCAGAGTAGGAGACAGTATCACAAGACCCCAGAGTCACAGTCACCCTTTGATGTTCTTGGGGGCCAGTTCCAGGATTCCCTGAAAAGGTCCTCACGTAAATGGTGTGGTTTGCAAGCAGCCCACACGCTTCCTCCTACACACTTCAAACCCGGTGTAGGTTGCCCCTAGTGGCCCATCCTGTGGGCCTGAGAAGCCCTGGCCCTGCAGTGCCCGCTGCATTGGTGGTGCTGCTTGCACTCCCCTGGGCTGTGGGATTCTAGGTGTTGCAGGGATAGTTAAAGGGAGCTGAGGCCTGGCCCCTCTTCTCGGGGAGCTTCTGCTTAGCTGCTTGCTTAGACTTTTGTATGGCAGAGACTCTCGGGTGTCCCACAGCTAGGGGAGGCTTGATTTGTGTCCTCCTGTTTGAAACTGCATCCCGTGGCCTCCACTTATCCCTCCTCAGGTTAGCCTTGCGTCTGGCTGGAGCTCAGCCAGCCCTCTGAAGCCAGATGCTCCTGTGTGAGCCATAGCCACCATGGGAGGAAGTGAGGAGGACAAGAAACTGCACATGTTGCCTGTTCCCTCACACTTCTGTAACTATGGCAAATGTGGTCACCCTGAGTATCCCCCACCCCAGTATAGCTAAGTGAGGGTCCTCAGCAGGAAGAACAGGAGTGGAATTCCTCTCCAGATCCTTCTGATCAGGCAAAAGATAGAGAGATTGGCCCCTTTCCCTGCCCACCTCCATCCTTGGAGCACTCCCACAGAAAGCGGGGCCATTTGGCCGGCAGTAAGGCTTTTCAGCAAAGTATATGCCAGTTCTTGGCGCTATCTCTCATTCCTTGGTTTCTGGTTTAATAATCTGTCCTGTCTGGATCTCGAGTTCCCTAGCACATAGCTTAACTTGAATAATGTAGGACTGGGAAACAGTTTTTAAAATAGCATATTAATTCTTGTTTGAAGAAATACCTCATCCCATTAAACCATGACACACTTGATTTTGTAGTTAAAATCCCTGATGGTGGTGGGGATCAGTATCTGTAAAGATGCCCTCAGCAAGGACACATTAGTGGTTGGATTTGTGGCCAGTGTCAACCCCAGGATAACCAGGTACTTTAAAACTATTCTGAAAATATGCTTTAAAGTTTAAAGGTTAATTTTGTTTTTGCTTTTGGTGAACAAGTGGATTGTATTGGGGTTACTTACAGGAGCAAAATGACTCAAAGACAGTTACATCGCCAAAGCCCGCCCCAGCATGGGTGACAGCTCGGGAAAGCAGGAACTGGGGTGCAGGTACAACCTGCAGGTGGCTCAGCAGGTGGGAGCTTCTGAGCAGCCCAGCTGGTCTGCAGCTCTCCAGGCTTCTAGGCAGCTTGTCTAATGGCTTCTTTACAGTATTTTCCTTTAGATGTTTTTTTGGGGGGGATCCACAATTGACCATATTTTCCAGTATAATTTCCTTCAACAATTTCAGTAAAATGTTTTTTCCCTCACAGTTATCAAAAAGACCAATGTCAAATATTTCTTTAAACGGACTGTCTTATTTTTACTATTTCTTGCCAACATGATCTCTTGATTTTGCTTTTAAACATATAAAAAGTCTAATGCAAAGCTGAGTATGAGTATGTAGCGAAGGCTAATTAAAGCGTGGATACACTGACCTCTAAAATGAAGCGTCATTAAAGGTGTTTTGTTTGGACTTTTCTCATCTCCCTTCTCTTTACAGCTCCTCATACAGAAAAGCAGCTTAAGTCCCCACCACTTCCCTCTCCATTCCCCAACGTCTTTTTTCTTTCTTTTTTTAAAAAAACATTTATTTTTATTTTATATATGAATGTTATGAGTGTTCTGCCTGCATGTGTGTAAGTGCACCTGTGTGGTGCATTGCTTGCAGAGGACAGAAGAGGATGTGGAATTGCCTGGAAATGGAGTTATGGATGGTTGCTGGTCATCATGTGGGTGCTGGGATTCGAATCCAGGTTCTCTGCAAAAGCAGCCTGTGCTCTTAACCACTGAATCGTCTCTCCAGTTCTCAGTTAATTTTTAAAAATTACCTTTTATTTCTTTGGGTGTGTGTATGTGTGCAGGTGCACACGTGCTATAGCATGGTGTGGAGCTGGAGGACAGTTTGTGAGAGGTAGCGCTCTCATTTCACAGTGTGGGTCCTGGGGATTGAACTGGGGTCCTCAGGCTCCTTTACCTGCTGAACCATCTTCCAACCCTCAGTTAGATTCAGACTATAGTTTAAATAACATCCTGACAAGGAATGATTTGTATTATTCAGTTATATTTTAAACACCAACATTTATGTTCATAAATTATGTATTAAAATGTGATTGATGATGTTGAAATAAAATACAACTTCAATTGAAAACCATTTTTCCAGATTCATGGGGGGTGGGTTGGTTTGTTTTCTAGTTGTATACCCAGATCAAGTTTGTGTGTGTGTGTGTGTGTGTGTGTGTGTGTGTGTGTAAATTCCCATGCATTTAGCTGTTTTCTGAGGGGCTGTGTGTGACAGTCTGTGAACCAGACATCTCACAAAGATTTTGTCAAACAGCTGAGTTCAAAAATCAGATTGCAGGATGCTATATCCTATCTGTTGCTTACTGTGCAACTGAAGCCTGGTTATTTAGCTTAGCCTGTAAGTGTGGATAGTTAGTACCTGTTTTATGAGGCCTTCGTGGGGATTATATAAGATTAAGTGCTCTGAACACTGCAAGCCTTAGGGATGCTCAGTGCACGTGTGTATTAAAACTCGCAGACACTTCTTATTCTTATTAAAGACACTTTGTTCTTATTAAAACTTGTAGACACTTGATGTGGTGATTGTGCATACGGCTGCTAAAAACAGAGGTCAAACTAGGACTCGTCCCCTAAACAGTGGCTCGTGTTCTCTCTAAATTGTGGTCTTTAGAACTACTTCCATATTTGGAACTAAACAGGATAGGCAGCAGTTGTTTGCAAAATGTCGTCTTCATGTCTTCAGCTGTTTGATTTACTGCATTAAGTGTGTCTGGGGTGTATCTACAGTTGTGAGATGCAGGAAGTAAGTGGAGCATCACACAAGTCACTTAGAGCAATTCCTATTACAAATGCCAGTTCAACTGTCAAGTTGATGGAAGACTTATAATTTTTTGTTGTTACTCATCTAGAATTTTCATAAGAATGGAGTATGGAGACACTAGCTTTTTTCCCACCTTCAAACTGTAGTCATTTGGGGCTGGAGATAGGGCTCAGCAGTCAGGAACACTGGCTGCCCTCGCAAAGGACTCCGGTTTGGTTCCTAGTATCCACCCTCAGTGCTCCTGTTTTGGGGTTTCTGGTGCCCTCTTCTGGCCTCCGCGGGCTCTGTGGTCATGGGTGCACTTAAATGCAAGCCAAAACACTCAGACATACGCAATTCAAATAAATAAGAGTTTTTAAAGTCTAAAAAATAGTAATCATTTATGGCGAGGTTTTCTCTCAGTTTTTCTCCAGCATTCTTGAAGTGTAGTTGGCAAATAAAATAATATTTAGGGCCTACGTCATGCATCAGTTACTTTTCTGTTCCTGTGATAAAACACCATGACCAAAAGTGACTTAGGGAAGAGTTTATTAGGGCTGATGGTCCAGAAGAGTCCATAAAGGCAGGGGAGGCGTGGCAGCAGGTGGCAGGCTTGGTAGCAGGAGCAGGAAGCCAGAGGCCACATTTCCACCCCAAACAGGAAGCAGAGAAAGAGGCCTGAAGTGGAGTGAGGCTGTGACCTCTCGAAGCCCACCTCGGTGTCATACTTCCTCTAGCAAGCCCACACCACCATATCTCCCCAGATAGCTCCGCCAGCTAGGGACCAAGTGTTCAAATACCTGAGCCTGTGGGGGACATTTCTCATTCAGATCCCAGCACATCACAACATTTGGTTGTGTGTGTCAAGTTAAACTCATCACCTCACATGGTCACATGTGTGTCGTGGGAATACTTAAGATCTGCTCATAGCAAGCCTCAAATATAGACACATCATTAACTATAGTCAGTGCTGTCCATTAGCTATTCAGATCTTGTTCCTCTTATAGATGGAGGTTTATAAGCCGGGCATGGTGGTGCACACCTTTGGTCCCAGCATTTGGGGGACAGAAGCAGGGGTATCTTTGTGAGATCAAGGCCAGCCTGGTCTGTGTAGTGAGTTCCAGGCCAGCTTCAGCTACAGGGAGACCGTGTCTCAAAAAGACAAATAAATAAAAATAAATAAATCGAGGTTTGTGTCCTTCCACTAACCTCTCCCTGTCTCTGTTTCTTGGTGGCTTGCGTTTCTTTGATGGTTGGTGATGTTGGACACTGTCATTGATCAAGTGGTCATTTGGTCATGTCGTTTCTGAAATGTTTATTCAGGTCCTTTGATCTTAGAAGGTGTGATGTGCTCCCCTTTTTACTACTGAGTCATTTGAGTTCTGTGCATTATTTATAGGAAACTCTTATTAGCTATGCAGACATTTCCTTCCGTTCTAGAAGTTGTCTTTTGTTGACGGTTGCCTTTGCTGTGAAGAAACGTTTCAGCTTGTTGAAGCCTCATTGCTTGCTTGTGTTTTTCATGTCATATAAAACAGTAATAGTCATTGAGCCTAGTCTGATCTACATAGCAAGTTCCAGGCCAGCCAGGGCTATACAAAAACAAAAATAGTTCATAATGATGTCTCTTTTCTTTTTTTAACTTAATTTTTAAAGATTTTATTTTATTTATGTGTATCTGTGTATGTGTCCTGCCATGTGTGTGCAGGTGTTTATGGAGGCCAGAAAAGGGCATTAGATGCCCTGGAACTGGAGTTACAGGTGGTTGTTTGCTGCCCAGTGTGGGTGCGGGGAACTGAACTCTGCTATCTCTGCAAGAGCAGCAAGTGCTCTTAACCACGAGCTATCTGGCCAACTGGCCTTCCTCCCTCCCTCCCTCCTTCATATATGTTGATACTTTTGAAGGCTGGAAAATGACTTTGGTGTAATTCTCAGAAATACCCTTCACCTCCTTTAAGATGGGCTCCCCTTGACCTGGAGTTCACCAATTGGGCTAGGATGGCTGGCCAGTGATCCCCAGGGATCCTCCTGTGTCCACGTCCGTCCCAGCCTTGGGATTACAAGGGTGTCCTCCCTGCCTGGCGTCTTTTCGTGGATCTGGGGATTGAACTCAGTTCCTCATGCTTGCCACAGAAGTGCTGTACAGACTCAGTTGTCCCTCTGATAGCTTGTTTCCTACCTTGTTCCCTCCCTTCCTCCTTCCTTCCCTTCCCCCCCCTCGGTATTTATTCATGAATGCTGACATTCAGTTTTCTTAAAGTACCATTGTCTGATATCAGGGTAATGTTGGCCTACTAAAATAAGATTAGACTTAATCCCCTTTCTTAAGATTTTTTGCATAAGTTTGTGAAGGATTAATGCTAATTCTTTAAATGCTTGGCAGAATTCAGCAGCAAAGCCACCAGGTTTGAAACTTTGTTGCGGGATGATTGTTACACTGATTCAATTTCCTTGTCATTATTTAGATTTTCTGTTCATTATGTTTCCATTTTGGTAAGTTTGTATTCATTTCTTACAGGTTACCAAATTTGCTGGTATTATATAATTGTTCCTTGCTCAGAATTTATCCACTTGGTACAGAGCATCTGATCTGTTGGCATACAGTTGTTCATGGTAGTGTCTACGGTCCTTAGGATGTTTGTGATATAAGTTTTAATGTCTCTGATTTTATTTACCCGTCTTCTTTCTTTTATATTAGTCTAGCTAGAGGTTTGTTAATTACCTAAAATTGTGATATAAGTTTTAATGTCTCTGATTTTATTTACCCATCTTCTTTCTTTTATATTAGTCTAGCTAGAGGTTTGTTAATTACCTAAAAAAAACAAAAACAACCAAAAAAATTTTTTATTGATCTTTTAAGGTTTTTCTTGTATCCATTTATTTTTAATTTTTTTTCCAAGACAGGGTCTCCTATAGCCCAGGCTGGCCTCATACTGTGTAGCTGAGGATGACCTTAGACTCCTGATCCTCCTGTCTCCACCTCCCAAGTGCTGGGATTACAAATGTGCTCTACCACCCTGGTCTGTTTACTGCCGCTCTGGTCTTTAGTATTTCCTCCTCCTTCTAATTTTGGCTTGGTTTTTTCCTGCTTGCTTTCATGGAGTGTTAGCAAGTTTTCTTTTTTCCCTCATTTGGTATTCATCACTATAAGCAACTTAGAATAGCCTTTACCACATCATGTAAGTTTTGATAATGCTGTGCTACATGCAGTCTCAATTTAACCTTCATAACATAGGTGTTGGGCCAGCAAGGTGGCTTAGTGGGTAAGAGCGCTTGTTGCCAAGCCTGATGGCCTGAGTCTGAGCCTTGGGACCCATGTGGTGGAGTGGGGGACCGACTTCTGCAAGTCATCCTTTCACTGCCACATGCATGGCATATGTGTGCACACATGTACACACACTCAACAAAATAAAGTAAAAAATAAGGTGGTGAGCAATATAGGAAGACACTGAACTTGACCTCTAGCCTCCCCATGCTTATGCATGTGCACACACACTGAAAATCAAGAACAATTATTTTGTGTTGTCAGGTGGTTTACAGATCTCCACTTCTCTGGGGATGGTAATGGGAATGTTCTGCTCTTTGGTGCTGTCATGGCTCATGACGGTTTGTGTTCCCTGACATGGTGCACTTCTGTCTACATTTGAAGTTTGGCTACTACCTCTGGTCTTTACTGACTGATGTTGGGAGAGACGTGTCATCACTAATTAGCCTGGCCGAGGATTCCTTTTGAAAATTTTAAAAATATTTGTACTGGCTTTTTGAGAATTTCATAAAATATATTTTTAGCATATTCGGAACCCCACCCCATTTTAACATTTTTTATATTTATTTCTCATGTGCCAAAGGCTCTTTCCTGGCAGTGGGTTATGCGCCACTGGGAGGGGATGGTGTGAGGCAAGTGACTCTGTCCTCAGATTTTTTTAACCCAGAAATATGCTGGGAGTTTACCACCATCCAACTCTCTGCCTGTGGAAAGTTGTCAGAAGTGCTGCCTCTGTGTAAACGGACTGTGTTATGGCACCTCCGCTCTGCTGTCTTCGTGTCCCTCAAGACTCGCAGCTTGTTAATGGCGTTGCTAACCATGTTACTGTGATTTCAGATATTCAGAATACTTTGATAATGATGCTGTCGTATGTTAGTCACTTTCTGCTGTTGTGAGGAGACATCTGAGAACAACTTTCTAAAGGAGGAAAGATTGATTTTTGCCTCAGTTTCAGAGCTTTCACTTGGCCCCATTGCTTTGGGCCTGAGATGGGGCTGAACATCATGGTGGAGAGTGTGTGGCCAGCAGAGCTGCTCACCTCAGGACAGCCAGGAAACAGAGAGAGAAGGAAAGGGCCTTTCAAGAGTGCCCCAGTGACCCTCTGCCTTGGCTAGGTCCAGAGACAAGATATACCCTTCAAGAGCATGTCCCAGTGACCCCCTGCCTCAGCTAGGCCTGATTTCCTCAGGGCCCATTTGGCTATGACTTCAGCTCACTTCTGTTGGTTAATCTACTGGTGAAGTTATCACCTGTGGTCCAGTCACCTCTCCATAGCTTCAGAAGCTGAGGAACAAGCCTTTGATCAGCCCTTCCAAGGGCACTTCATGTCCCTGTAACACACACGATTGACCTTCTGAGGGGCACTCATGTCCCTGTGACACACATGACCGACCTTCTGAGGGGCACTCATGTCCCTGTATAACACACATGACCGACCTTCTGAGGGGCACTCATGTCCCTGTATAACACACATGACCGACCTTCTGAGGGGCACTCATGTCCCTGTATAACACACATGACCGACCTTCTGAGGGGCACTCATGTCCCTGTATAACACACATGACCGACCTTCTGAGGGGCACTCATGTCCCTGTATAACACACATGACCGACCTTCTGAGGGGCACTCATGTCCCTGTATAACACACATGACCGACCTTCTGAGGGGCACTCATGTCCCTGTATAACACACATGACCGACCTTCTGAGGGGCACTCATGTCCCTGTATAACACACATGACCGACCTTCTGAGGGGCACTCATGTCCCTGTATAACACACATGACCGACCTTCTGAGGGGCACTCATGTCCCTGTATAACACACATGACCGACCTTCTGAGGGGCACTCATGTCCCTGTATAACACACATGACCGACCTTCTGAGGGGCACTCATGTCCCTGTATAACACACATGACCGACCTTCTGAGGGGCACTCATGTCCCTGTATAACACACATGACCGACCTTCTGAGGGGCACTCATGTCCCTGTATAACACACATGACCGACCTTCTGAGGGGCACTCATGTCCCTGTATAACACATGACTGACCTTTTGAGGGGCACTCATGTCCCTGTTACACACATGACCGACCTTCTGAGGGGCACTCATGTCCCTGTAACACACATGACCGACCTTCTGAGGGGCACTCATGTCCCTGTTATAACAAACAACCCATCATGATTTTCATTTCTAAGTATTTAATTACTGACTTCATCGATAGAACTTCTAAAATCTCCACAACTCAAGCATTTTACAATGGTAACTGAAGTAATCCCCTCTAGAAATGGGTTTATGTTGGAGAAATCCTTGAACATTTTGGGAGCTGCAATGCTTTGTGCTAAACAACTACATTCTTTCATATCAACAGTGTACTGGCCCATGTTGTGCTCACTGTGCAGCACTCTGTATTTATGTGCAGTTTCTAATTTAATTTTCATGGTTCCAGGAGGTAGGAATTACCTTGCTGTCATGTGAACTGTCTTGGTGAGATGAAGCGGTTGAGGTTTGGGTTCATGTGCCAAGGGCCACACATCTGTCACATTTTCTGGTCAGAATTTGAATCCAGATGCCAACACTGAGCATTAGTTACCCTTAACAATGAATTCGTGCTAGGATGGGGTTATTTTGTATAACTGTAGCCAGATGGTACATACAAAGTCAGGAATGTTCACTTTTGCTCATGGCATGTGTGTCTTCGTAACAGTGCATGTTTGCGGTAGGAATGTGGACGTTGGATGAACTTGACGCTCTGTCTTTTACTTCAGGTGGTTTTCTCGCTGCATCCTTCAGAGAACGACAGCTGAAGTTGCAGATTGCCTAAAAGTCTTCTTGACTGGTATTTAATCTGTAGCAATGGGGTGGGTCCCAGGGGCGGTTCCTGCACGTCTGGATTCCACATGCTTGTAGGCGACCAGGCAAGCGGAAGCAAACTCCTAAGTCTGTCAGCTTCCACCCAGTGGGAGAACCCCAAGTCTGTGTGCTGACTCGTAGGCTAGCACATGGTAGCATTTGTGTTGCATTGTGTATGATAATTAAGGCTGTGGCCACTGGAGGCCCTGGTAGTTTGTAGCCCAAAGAGACCTGTGCTAGGGAAACCAGCATGAGGAGGAAGTGTTAAGTCTACACATGGGAGACAGGCCTTTGGCCCTGAGATAGGAGTGCTGCCAGATAAAGCGTGGCACAGGAGAGGATGGGGAGAGAGTTGGTGAGGGAAGGGTCTCTTCACAGTGGGATGCAGTGGACCCACCCGCCTTGGGCTTCCTCATGTGATGCACAGCAGTTTGACATACACATGTACAGCTCCTGTCTGCAGTTTGCAGTCTGTACGTTTTGGGAAGTTGTAACATTTTTAAAGTGAATTTAGTGATCCTTGTTGATGATGTACTTAGATTACAATTATCTTTTATCAAACCAAAATGAATTCCCTAGACAGCCAAGTCTTCTAAAACAGATTATGCAATATGTACATGAAAAGGAATTGCTGTAGCTTAGTACTTATTTTAAAACCTGGTAAATATTTTAGCAGTTTTTACTGAAAGTCTCATGTGGGAGTTGCTGTCTGATGTCTGCTCTGAGGAGGTTTACAGTTAGAGTGGGTAGAAACGTTTCCCGCATCCATCCCATCGCTGAGAACTATGATCAAATTTGGGTGAGGCGTGTGAGGAACTATTTCTGGAGGAATGGCAACGCATTTCCTTGTTTTCATATTTGTTCTATTAGGAGAATGAAATGAACACATCTAGTCTTACTGAGGGGATCCAGGATGAAGTGGAATTGCTGTTAATTTGATTTTAGGCATTTGTCTGCTGCATGAATTAAATTTGATTTGTTGCTTAAATACTAAAATTTGACTAAAGAGATAATGTTAGATTTAGGAACACATGATGTCACTGCAAACCTTATGATTGTGTGAACTGTAGAGATGGAGGAAGGGCCCCAGTTATCCATCTTTGGTATTTCAGATTCAGCCCAAACTAAATATCACTGTGCTTTACCATGGTCTGAAATGACAAAATTATTTCAACCTTGAACTGTTCGGAATCCTATTTTTGGTGGCTTTGCACTGGTGAGTCTTATTAACACCACATTCTGCAGGTGCCCTCAACAAATGGTACAAGCTCAACCATGACTTGCCAGCGAGGATAATCGTGTACCGTGATGGCGTTGGGGATGGTCAGCTAAAAGCAGTTGTTGACTATGAAGTCCCTCAGCTGCTGAGCAGCGTGGCAGAGTCCAGCTCAGATTCCAGGTATTCAGTTCCTGTGCTCTGACATTTCGGATAACAGGTTCACCTTCAGTGACTGAACACACAGTTTGTGAACATGACTTCTATTTTTTTATGCAGTGAAGTTTTGCTGTGTTTCTGTGGCTTGCTAGATCATCTGAGTGGATTTTTCTAAGACTAGAGAGTTGTTCAGATGGTCTAACAGAATAAGGCCCCAAAAGAAGGTGTGCATCCTTCGGAGCAGCTGACACAGGTTGACAAACCAGCAGGGGTAGTGGACTAGCAGAACTGCACATACATACCAACATACCGTCAGGGAGGGAAACACGCTGTGATTACAAATCCAGATCATCACACAGGGCAGGACTTCTGAAGTTGGTCGGCAATGCTCGGGTGAGGTAGCGGAGAGGCGTGTGGGAGCCCGGAGTGTCGAGCGGTGGGTAATTGGCGTGCTCGAATGCCGCACCGTGCTTTTCTAGATGTAGTGTTAGAGTACTGAATTTTCTTCAGTGATTCTGTGGAGTGCAAAGTGCAAAACATACTTGGAGAGTGCAAAAAACTAATTTCACGTTGGTATCTTGAAAATTTCAGAAAGTGTCTTATCCCCAAGTAGTGCAGAGCTGTGTGTGGTCACCACCAGTCAAAATCTCGCAGCCACAAGCCACAGAGGAGTGGGCTTGACCTCAGATCATTACTGAGACAGAGGAGGGAAGAGGAGGGAAAGCCATACAGCTTGATGGTGGAATCACTTGCAGCTGGGGCCAAATGACTAGCGCAAAAATGTCTGTCTCTCCCCAGCCCCAGGTGAATGAATCTCAGATGACTGATTAAATACGTGGAGACAGGTGAATCCCACAGCTGACAGTGTTAAGGGGATAACATCTCTTGCTCTTAAACATCAACTTTTAAAAGTTTCAATATAGGGAATATTCACAATTATTTATTCATTGTTTATTTTTAGGAAGAACCACCTATTGATTACACTGTAAGGGAACAGTAGGCTGGGCAGTAACTAGAACCTGCAGCTCAGGATGTTTTTAAATCCTAAAACTGCTCAAAGTGAAGGTTCACAGTGATCCTTGATCTCCCGAGTTCCTTCTGTGATGGAGAGTCCTGGGATTTGGCCTTGGCATTGAAATACTTTCAGCACTTGGCTATTCAGCATTTGGCCAGAACATATGTTTGCTCTGTCCCTCCCTCCCTTCTTTCCTCCCTCTCTTCAGCCATCCCTCCCTCCATTCAGGCATCCCTCTCCCTCTCTCCAGCCATCCCTCCCTCCATCCATCCCTCCGTCCCTCCATCCATCCCTCCGTCCCTCCATCCATCCATCTGTCCCTCCATCCCTCCCTCCGTCCATCCATCTCTCCCTCCCTCCATCCAGACTCCTATCCATCCATTTATCCATCCATTTATTCATCCCTCCATCCATCCTTCTGTCCATCCATCCTTCACCCACACACCTAAACATGGGTTTTTAATGATTCAGAATAGATTATTTGAGGAGCAAGAGAAACTTGAGCCTTTCTTTGCTACAACAAAATAAATTTGAGAGGATGAGGGAAGTAAAAATGCAGTGACTGTTGCTAATGAGGGGTGGTGTCTCCATGGGTAATTCTGGAAAAATCTTTCCTTAAGAGGCAGTTGAAAGCTGAGTGACACAGGCCAACGGTTTCCTGGGGCTCAAGATGTCAGCGATAGAGCACTTTTCTAGTGCGTGTAAGGCTTCCAATTCCTGCATCGTCATCAAGTAGTTCAGTTGGTTGTCATGGTAACCAATCCTTGTGCCCATTTAAGTATTATAAACTAGGCAAATGACTATGCTTTTGCACAAATGAAGACAATCCCTAATCATATGTCTCTAGAGAAGAAGGAAGGGCAGGTGATTTTTTATCTTCTTTGTTTTGCAGTGATTTTATTTTACTTTATAATTTTATTGCAATCCGGGTCTCCCTGTTTACCCAGCTGACCTGGAATTCACCATGTAGAGCAGGCTGGCCTCAATCTCACAGAGACCTGCCTGCCTCTGCCTCCCAAGTGTTGGGACTAAAGGTGTGCACTACCACACCTGGCTCTTAGAAGTATCTGTATAATGAATTTCTGTTTACTTCATTTTACAAATTCACAAACAGCAAAACAACAGCCCAACTAAGTAAGGATGAAGCTGTGTGACTTGGCTGCATGCTCATTTTATGCTCTGGTTGCAGCAGCTGCAGGCTGTCGGTGGTTGTGGTCAGGAAGAGATGCACACCACGCTTCTTCGTTGAGACAAGCAAGACTGTGCAGAACCCCCCGCTGGGCACCGTGGTGGATTCAGAAGCCACGCGGCCTGCTTGGCAAGTGTCATTGGAAGACCGTGTGTGTCTTTGGCTTTTCTGTGTGTGTGTTCATATGCATGTGTGTGGTGTGTGTGCTCATGTGCATGTGTGCGGTGCATGTGTTCATGTAGTGTGCATGCACATGTATATGTTCATGTGTGTGATGTGCATGCATGTGCATGTGTTCGTGTGCACGTATGCATGCATGTGCATGTGTGGACTGTATACATGTGCATGCATGTTCATGTGCACACATAGTATGCATGTTCATATACTCATGTGCATATGTGTGGCGTATACAAGTTTGTGTGTTCGTGGGCACATGTGATGCATGCACATGTATTAATGTGCATGTGTGTGGCATGTATGCACATGTATATGTGCATGGGTGGTGCATGCACCTGCATATGCTCATGTGCACACATTCATGCACATGCAGGATTGTATGTATACACATGTTCATGTGTGCACGTGTTCATGTGCATACATTCATGAACATGTGTGTGCATCTGTGTGCTCGTGTTCTGCATGCACAGATGTTCATGTCCACATGTGTGGTGTTTGCATGTGTTCATGTACATATGTGTGATGTGTGCAAGAGTATTTTCATGTGCACCTGTGTGCTTATGTATCTGTCCACGTGTAAATGCATGTGGCATATGAATATGTATATGTTCATATGCATGTGTGTGGTGTATGAAAATGTATGTTCATGTGCACGTGTGTGTTCTTGAGTGTGCGTGCATGTGTGAGGCCAGAGGCTGCTCAGGTGTCTTCCTCAGTGGCTCTACCTTTTTATTTTTTTTGAGACCGTGTCTCTCACTAAACATGGAGATCGCTCATTGGCTAGACTGACTGGCAAGTCCCAAGATCCTCCTGTCTCTGCCTCCCCATGCTAAGATTATAGGCGTGTGACATCAGGCCTGGCTTTTTACATGGGTGCTGGGGTACAAGCTTGAGCCCTCATGCATGGATGGCAGCCACTTTGCTGAATAAACTGTCTCCCCAGTCCCTGGAAAATGATTTTGAGACCCATTGGGTGCTGTTTGGATCTGTCCTGCTCTGTGACTCCTTTCCTCCATTCCTCCACTGTTTCTACAGGTATGACTTCTACCTGATCAGCCAGACGACTAGCCAGGGAACCGTTAGTCCCACTTACTACAATGTCATCTATGATGACAACGTCTTGAAGCCTGACCACATGCAGAGACTGACGTTCAAACTGTGCCATCTCTACTACAACTGGCAGGTGAGTGACAGCTGTTCACTGAGGCAGCATGACCTGGAGGGCCTCACCTGGGAATTGCCATGTCCTCCCCTCCCCTGTTCACCTTCATAGCTTTGACTTCACAGGGAGGAGCCCACAGTGGGAGGAACCCGGTCTGTCACAGAAACAAAACAACAGTCCCAGGGGACTTGCCAGGCCAAGCCTGGGGGCAGCACAGCTTTGTTAATTCATGCTACACGTGAGGGATGTGAAGCCAGCACAGACATGCGGTGGGAAGGGGAACATGATGTGCCTGCCCCGTGCCCTTGCGCATCAGGCCAAGAGGTGCACTCAGAGTCCAAACCAGGTCTCCCAATTCCTAGTCTGTGAACCGGGACCACCCTCCAGGCTATCTTGCCAGTGAGCTTAAGCTCCCTGGTGAGGGTGCCCTCTGTTGGCTGAGTTTAATTATCTTTTACCCAGTAACACATTCTATTATATTAGCAACCAGCAGGTGAAAAAAAATCATTACTATCCCCCCTCCCCCCAGGGCTTAATCAGCATCCCAGCGCCATGCCAGTACGCACACAAGCTGACCTTCCTGGTAGCACAGAGCATCCACAAGGAGCCAAGTTTGGAGTTAGCCAACCACCTCTTCTACCTGTGACTGCTGAGCATCACTCCATGCAGACTCCATGACACAGTTGTGCTTTATACGAATCTGCCCAAAGCTCAGTGTTGTTGCTGCAGAAAGGGGACTGAGCTCCGTTTTAAACATCTGGTGAGCAGGTAGAAGACAATGAAAAATTGTCATCTGAAACAGCTCAAAAGAAATCTACGGCTTTTTCCCATGTCTTTTTCACAGGGTACTGGGTTTTATCACGGCTTTTTCATGTGTCTGCTGCTTCACTTGATAATCTTTGTATTTTACTATTTTTATTTCCTCTTCTATTTTTAAAAGTCACATTCTTGTGGTAAATTTTCATTACGATATTTGGAATATATCAATACCTGAGAGTCATAGAGTTAACTGTCTTCTTTCTAAAAAGTGTGTGGTAGTTTTATGTTGGACATGTGGGGTCTAATCCCTGTCCTGAGCTTTTCAGAGTTTTTCTTATTGTTCTAGAGTGTTCTATAGAGTGGTTTAAATAATTATTAGAAATAAAGAAAATCACAGCATCATCTGTGCGTTTATTCTTACTTGGATTTGAGGTTGGCGCTGTGTGAACCTTGCCAAAGTTTAGGTAGGTTTATTTAGCGAAGATACCCACTAGATTTTACTGTCGGACTTAAAGTTCTTTCTGAAACTGAGCTTGGCCCTGGTTCTTGTGAGGGGATTTCCTTTCACTGAGCAGCAATAGCTCTCAGTGGCTTTGATTCCTCACAGGGATTGTGGAAGCCACCAGGAGAGAAAACTTGGACAGGGGATGCCGCGTCCACCTTCACACAGCATCTTGTGCCTGTAGACCCCCCTGCTGTTCCCTGCACCCCGTCTTTGCCCTGTAAGGTGCTCACCTCTGCACCAGATCCCACCCTGCTGAGCTCTGAAGGGCACCTCTCCTGATTCTCCCTTTTCTGCATCACCAGCCATCTTGCTGACCTGTTCCCAGGACATTATAAGTAGGTTGTTCTCCCAAGAAACTATTTCCCTCTCCAGCTCCCACCCCTTCTTTTCTTGATAGAAATGCATCTCAGAAGGAGAATCCATGCCTGATGGACATAATTCCTCAGGCAGTTAGAATGTCACCACACCACCATATCAAAATTGCTCTAGTCAGGAACTCCCCTTGCTGAGTTCCACAGTCAGGTGTTGTCAGTGACGGCATTTGGTCACTTGATGCTGTTGTGCACCGAGCCCCTCTTCCCCCGGCCTCTCCTGCATAGAGCCTCGTTCTCTGCCAATTTCTCTCTTTGCTGGAGTCTCTCCTTCATCTCCTTTCCACACTGGAATGCCCCAGGGGTGAGAATAGGATGATGGTAGAAAGTTTTGATGCAGGAAAGGTCAGTTCCTAGTTCTGCCTATGGCAGAAGGGGTTGTGGAAAACTGCAGTGAGGGGATGACAGTGGGGGGAGAAGCAGGAGCCAGCCATCGGGACAAGAAGTCTTAACACATTGCCCCGGAAAGCTTGTTGTGCTCTCTTCCTCCCTCCCTCTCTCCTTCCCTCTGTGGTTGGGTTTTGTGATTGATTGATTGATTGATTGATTGATTGACTTTTTAAAGAAGGCCTTGTCATATAGCCCTGGCTGGCCCTGGTACTCACACTGTAGTCCAGGCTGGCACTGAACTTTTAGCAATCTTCCTGCCTCAGCCTCCCAGGTACTATCACTTGTGCCCCCCAACACTCTCTTTGGTGAGGATTTTGTTCAGACGTGTTAGAAACACAGTCAACTTGGTCCACCCCAGTGTCAGTGTAATAGCCCAAAATGCAGGAGGTGGAAGGTTAGTATATTCCAGACATCAAATCACGTACTTGGCATTCACATCTAATATTTACATTCATGAATTAGGCTTCAGTGACCATTTTACGAGAGAGAAAAGTAAGGCTTAATTACAGCAAGATTCCCCAGAGTTGATAAGCCTTAACAGGTGTAGAGCTGGGCTCTGTCCTCATGGTTGGCTGACAAAACCTGTGGGCTGGAACACTACTGCCTTGCTAAAAGGTACTATAAGATTAAGCAGAAATTCTGAAATTTCATGTAAGGAGGTGTTGTGTGTGAAGCTGGATTGTACACAGGAGTCTCTGGAGAGGCGGCACTGGCCTGGTGGAGGGGAGTGTTGGGTGTCACCGTTTCCTTCAAAGTCTAGGCGTAATCTAGAGCCCCCATCTAACCAGGTGGCTGTTGTGAACCTGCAGGCAACACTCTGCTCAGGGAAAGTGCAAGTAGGTCTGCCGTCTGGGGGCTCTTCAAGCTCTGCAAGGTCGATGTCCTCTTTCCATTTCAACCCACCAGGGGGCGCACGCACACCATCCTCTCAGTAGCATCTGCCTTCAGTGTTGAGACAACCAGTGGAAGAAAGGTAGGCTTCCCTCTCCCCAAATTAACTCCTAGAGGGCAATGCTAAAGAAATCTTCACCTAATCTCGGGTTCTAGCACATCCGTCAGGGGGCTGGGAGGCCGCCTCGTCTCTCCCTGGGACTTCATTACCCTGAGAAGACTGGGCTGGACCAGCGACACTCCCCTGTGAAAAGAACTTCCTACAGAAAAAGCCTTTTGTTCTTTTCAGTGCTGGAGTTGAACCCAGGGCCTCATGTGTGTTAGACAAGTGCTCTGCCATCAAGCTACATCCCCAGCCTCACAGTGATTTAACTGATCTGGGATGGCATCTGACCATCTGAATGGTTTAGACTACGCAGCCAGAGTTGGTAGTTCAGAACATGTAAGCTCCAACCTGCCTGTGTGATTACCTCCTAATCACCTGTATTAATTAGCTGCTCATCAGAGTACTGGAGATAAAGAGATAAAGCTCCCTGTGTGATTACCTCCTATCACCTGTATTAATTAGCTGCTCATCAGAGTACTGGAGATAAAGAGATAAAGGAGGGTGTACCTAGTTTCAGGACAGCGTGGGGTTTGTACCTTTGAATGACCACTGTGTAGCTATGAGAGCTTAGGCAAATTAACCACTGTGAGACTCAGTGGATCAACTGGTAAAAACTTCTCTGTCCATTATAGAGTTCTCGTAAGGATGAGAGATGTCAAACCTAGAGTATCTGGCTTTAATAAGGAGAATGACATTGTTAGTCCAGATGGGAGAAAAGGCATCATTTAGTCAACAGACACAAGTATGTGCTATATGCCAGGCACTGTGCCAGACACCAAATCCTACGGAACTGTGTATAGAAAGCATCACACTTTTTTCTAGGTATTCATTACTTTCTCACTGTTGTGACCAAATACTTGCAAAAAGTCAACTTAAGGGATGAAGGGTTCACTTTGGCTCAGTTTGAGGGGACATGTGCCATGGTGGGGGAGACATTGAGCTGTGGTGGATGGATGGAGAAGTGTCCACCTCTCCATGGTTCCAAAGCAGAACAGGACAGCAAGGCCCACTCCCCAGCATTCCATTTCCTTCAGCTAGGCCCCACCTCCTACAGGTTCCAAAACCTGTCAAAATACCACCCACTAGGTACAGGAGCCTGCAGAGCGCACTTCACAGTCAGACCCTAACAAGATATACTCCACCACTCGTTTTAAGGAGAGGGTTTTTAGGGGGCGGGGTTGCTTCAGCGGGGGACCAGAAGGAGACAGGAAGAAAACACACTTTCATAAATTTTTGTGGGTGCCGTGGAGGTGCAGTCACACATTTTTAATGAAAACCTTCGAAAGGAGCTTAGATTACAGGCAAGCTTCGATACCTGTGGAGGCCAAAAGAGGGCGTCAGTTCCTTGGGAACTGGAGTAGGGATGGTTGTTAGCACCAAGTGGGTGGTGGGAACTGAGCGGGGATCCTCTGGAAGAGCAGCCAGTGTACTTAATGGCTGTACCATCTCTCCACCCTCCCAATCATAAGTTTCAATAAAAAGTGCTCTTGGTCTTAAAACATCCATCAATCAAACACAGAATTTAAAAGAAACTCTGCCTTGAGGTACGATAACCATTTATTTTTTTAAATATTTTTGTGTATATGAGTGCATTGCCTGCATGTATCTTAAGTGCATGTATGTAAGGGCATCGGATCCTCTGGAAATGGAGTGACAGACAGTTGTTAGCAACCATGTGGGTGCTGGGAACCAAACCCAGGCCCTCTTTACGAGCGGCCAGTACTCTTAATCGCTGGGCTGTCTCTCCAGCCGTAACCTTTAAACTCTGAGTTTTGGTTTAGCAATTCTCCTTGAGAAAATGTACTCAGAAGCCCTTCCTAGCACACTTCAAGATCTCAAACACGAAGTATCAGCTGCTCTTGAGAACTGTTGTCAAATGCCAGAGTTTCATTGCTCAGGTTAACCTCTGCTTGGCAGTCTGGTTTGACCCAGTGCCCACTGGCCAAGAATAGCTCTACCACTGTTGCTGAACGGTGAGGAGACAGCACAGTCCATGAGGAGAGGGTAAGGACGGTCCTCCTGTGTGCTAAAACAGGCCGGGCTTTTGTCTGTGCATTCATTTTAAATTGTGAAAATGATATGTGTACATTATAAAAAATACAGAAAAGTCACCAATATAGTTATACAAAAGGGCACATGGTCAACGCTTTGATTTATATAGTTCTTAAGTCCTTTATACCATGCATATAGGTGTATAAACTTTATTTTCCACATAAGGTTATGGTATGAGTAGTTCTCTATTTTACCATGAAGCTTCTGTGGGCATGTTTGTCAATGACTGAGCAGTGTCTTACTGCTCTTGAGAACTGTTGTCAAATGCCAGAGTGAGGATGTAAAAGTTTCCTTTGTGGCATCTCTAGGCTAGTCCTAATTTTTCTTCCTGTAAAAACATGTTATAAAGATTTTCTCTCCAAGTATTTGGGATTGCTTCCTTAGATTAGAGTTCTAAAAGTAAAATTGAGTCAAAAGGTATAATACCTTTAAGACAGTTGAATTACATTGCTAAGTTCCCCCCAAGATGTGTCGTCTAGTAAAATCTGCATATCCCACCAAACCCGAAGGCTTGTTTCGCTGTGATGCTACGTTAGCTTCAAGCCTTTATTGGCATTTATTTATTAGTAAGT